TGTGACATTAATATGGTGGAAAATCACTTTGATTCACTGGGTCACAGCTTTTGTTAAGACTAGTCTCCTCTGTGAAGTTTCCATGTGAGCATGTGCGTTCCAGTGCTCTGTGGGAGGCAAGGTATGGCCTGTGGTTCCTCAGAATCATTGAATCAGAATGAAATGTAAAAAAAACATATGAATAAAATTGCATTCTTTAAGGACGACGAGCGTGTATGAGTAGTCCTTAGAAAAATGAGAAAGGAATGGCATGAGTGTGTGTAGCAGACTGCTGTTTGCTTGTTTCCATCAGGGCTGCAATCTGAGGGACAGCAAGCTGCACAGCTGGAACCAGCCTACTTTACAGCCTAGCAAAATCATTCATATTCCATATTATGTAGTTCAACAAATGGATCAATATGTAATCATCATGATTTTTTTTGTTTCTTTACAAGTGCATTATTTGCGTTCTCAGGCGTAATTCTTAAGATCACGACTCATGCACGTGATTGGATATCGGAGTACTATCACAGTTACCAGGGTCCTTGTAAATGTGCATGTGTCAGTGTGTGCACCAGACACACACAAACACACAAGCGTGTCCGTTGCTTCTTTGGAAGACTGGGACGCCTGCCAGCGGCCCTCAACAGCGTCCACTGCCAATTAGTCCCTTTTATTTGTTTAAATTTTGCTGGACCAAGACACCGCAGTTAGACATTCCATGCAATGCTGTTGGGCTGCTCCTTAAAGCTGCAGAGGATGTTTCTGATTGAAGTTCAGATGGGATCCTTACTGTTTCCACTGTATTTCATGTTTTTCATATTTAGACTATCATTTCCGTGGAATCGTGGAAGATTTGGTTTGACGAGATCAGCGCATCATCATCATCCTTGCATGCCGAAGAGAGAATGGCATGACATTTTGCTGTGTTTTTCTGTTTCCAGTAATGTGTAGCCTCTTTGTTTACACCAACTAGTTTTGTGTGGGCTATCGCAGTGGCCACAGCGTCAGGTGCTGAGCTGATATTTCTGCCAAAGCCCTCCTGTCGTTTATTTATCCACATTTTATTTAGGCTTTAATTGATTCAGACGTTTTTAGGTGCATTCACTCTGGCAGAGTGAATGAGCCCATTGATGGAGCATGGCAGGCCTGCTACCTCCAGAAATGAGTGTGGGGCTGTGGGTCAATGCTTTGGCACGGTGAATAACAGGCTCAGCAATAGAAGCTTTGTGTCTATCTCTGCTGGCAGTGCAGCCCTGCCTCAGGCCCTGTTCCACCAGCGCCTCCAGGGACAGCGAGGACTAATCTGCCCCCCTCAGAGCCACCCCCACACATGGGCCGGCTGCTGGCCTATAATTACGTACAGTGAAGAGGTGTGGACTTTTTTGTTTTTGAAGCCAGGAAACAATCTAACCACACTGTTGACCTGTAACTGGGTTAGCTGCCAAGTAGTGAATTTCCTTTCCCACAATGGTTGAGCTGCCTGGCCTCCTGAGCTGAGCCTGAATGGTGGACTGTAGTTCTTGGGCTCTGTGCAGTGATGGTTCCTCTTGGCCTATAAATCATACAGGTAGATGTAAACCGATAATGTATTAGGCTCCAAAAGCGTTATGTGACGTTGGGTTCTTTAAAGTCTTAATCTACTGGAGGATATGGAAATTGCTTTAGTAGAGGCACTAAGATTTGCTCTAAACATGTAATCTGAGATGTGGCTGTTCTTCTCTGGTTTGCATTGAGAGGCCATCTATTCTGCATTTTGTGCTTCTTTTTTTGTCACACACAAAGTGGATGCCACGGTCTGATGGCATAATTGCAAAACTTTCCATTTCCTTGTATTAAAAAAGACAACAAAAACTTGACTGCTGGTTATTTTTAGCTTTGTGTAATAGACAATTTTCAAGTTTTATTATCCCGATGTTGAGGAGTTCTCTCTTTCACACGGAGCTTAATAGGAAAGATTTTTTTAGGAATAAACAGTCAAAAAATTTACTTTTGTGACAGACAGAAAGTTTTCTCTTTCATATTAAAATGTGATTGTATCTACCTGGGTAGCACAGAACATAAAATAAATCTCCCTTTTGAAGTGGTCAATCTATGAGGAAAGCATGGCTCTACCCTTTGTGGGCAGTAGGAACGTAAAGCCGTACTTTACAGGCTGAAAAAGCTCTCTACAATATAGTTACCTGAGTTTAGCCTCCTCCTTTCAGCTGCCGCTCTACTATTGACAGTAGCCAAGTAGCTCCTCCCTCTGTTATCTGCTACATAGTATACGGATGTGTTGCAAAGCCAGTTTACGACGTTTCAGTTATGACATTACACATCCTCATAGCTTAGATAAGACAGAAACACAGCTGCTCCGTTAAATACTTTTTCCCTTTTGGCGGAAATAAGAGGCCAGTGTGATTTTAAGCACACTCTTGACTTTTGGTCATTAAATAAGTGTGTTCAAGTGTCTGTAAATGTTGTTCTGGGTTATTTCACTCCTCAAAATTAACTTTCTGTGATGTATTAAGATTCCTGTCAGGAGACCTTTCACTTGTTCATTCACACTGCATTGATCGGCATAGAGCAGAACAGGGTGTGCTTCATGTGTCACAGTGTTTTGAATAGCATCTGAACTTCCCACAGGAAAATGTTTCAAAAGAGTGTGGCCAGAAGAAAAGTGTGGGATAACACAAGACATGGCTGTCCATGCACTTACACTTTAAAGTTCTCATGACTGTTCTGTTCCATGTCACTTTTGTCTGTGTTTTCTAGTCCCTTAACGTAGTACAGTAATTGTTGGAGGAGGGAGCTTGTACCCGAGGGTGTGCCAGATTGAATCCCTGGACTAGCTTTTTAGAACATGGGTCCAAGGAGTGAATGAAACTCGACTTCGAGTCAAGTTTCTTGAGCAAAGTCTTGGCTGCTCTAGTGAAGCTGCACAGTGGCTAGTAGTAAAATAGTGCGGTTGCCTTGGTCCAGGTCCCAGGTATGAGTAGAGCTTATGCATAGAATGTGGGTAGGAAACGGCCAAGCACAACTGTCGGTGAACACCTACCAGCCAGCCAGCCACTCATTTTTCTCACCAGCCATCGCCGGCAACATAATAGTTGTACGTTTATTAGGTACACCCAGGTAAAACTAATGCAGTGTAAGACAACATCCTTGCAATAAATCTTCCCTTCATCAGAGTCATAATGTTCAGTTTTTGTTGAAGCTTTGAGCAAGGAATATTCCAACTTTATGGTGATTTTGGAAGCTGTATGTTGTGATACTGTTGAACTGTTTTGTAAGTATACTGAGAGGTGTTTCTAATATGATGTTCATCCAGTCCATTTCAAGGAGGATAGACCAAATAATAGCTCTCTGGAGGGACTAGCATTGTCAATCAACAAACTAAATGATTCCTGAAGCAGAAATGTATAGATTTTGTATGTTGGACCAGCCAATAACTTCACACCACAGTAAGGAAGGTTTTGGTGATTTGCAGTTCAACAGACTTGAACATAACCTGATTTCAACAGCGTTTCATTGACTTTTACCAGGATCTCCTGTAATTGCTGATTGATTTTCTGATAATTGACAAAATTATTATTTGACTAATTTATTTTGACCAGTGTTAAACAGTGCAATAATTGTTGGTCCTGCACCCAGGTTGGAAAATCAGTGTTAAACCATTCACTCCGCTAGTAAGCCCTGAGTTTCTGAAGTCCATGTTACAGTCTGAGAGGGGTTGACATAAGCTGCCTGGCCAGAGTGGTTGGAGGGAGGGAATGTGGGCTGACCAGCTGAGCAGTTAGACAGTTAGAAAGGACTTGGGTCACTCAAATAACCCTTTTTGTGTGACATTAAAAAAATAATGTTTAGGTTGCTTTTTATAAAGAGCGTAAACATGAGTAGTCTTGTTTGATTTATTTTGTATAGATTATTGCAAGATTATTAAATAACAAATGAAAACACATAACTGAGGTTTTTAAATCGCTTGAAGAAGAAATATCATCATTGTACTTGTAGGCAAAGCTGTAAATGCTCACCAATTCCATAGCAGCACTGTGCAGAGTTCATGTGAGCATGCAGTTTTTTTTATCCTTTTTTGTCCTATTTTGATCAGATTCTATAGTGTGCTCCTAATAGCTGGTTGACGGTGCTTCATTCAGAAGCTGTTGTAGCAACATACGCCTGCACCAGCAACTTTACTGGCAGTATGTAGCACAAGAGCACAAAGGAAAATGCTGCATACAAGTCCAAACAGTCGTACCATTGTTTTGTTTTTAAGCATTAACTCCAAATCTCCACTGTATGTGCAGAAAATATGCTGTTATGCCCTTTGGAAAAGCTTTGTCTCTGGTTAATTTAAGGTTAAGGGATGAATAAAAATTAATGTCTCTCAGATTTATGGGTGTGAGACAGTCTGCAGCAAACACAGTATATAGCCCTGCAGTTCTGTGGTGTCGGAATTAAAGCCGTGATTCTGTGGAATCAACTGTTCTGCAGAGCTGTCGTACGTTGGAGCTTAACAGACCTTTATGTGGAGATTTGACTCCAGACCAGACTACTGTTTGCTCCCATTCTGTCCTTAATAAGTGAATGTTGATATTAAGATCAGTTAAAAAGGCTTGGATTTCCCAGTAGACAGTCAGAGGTGGTTTCCCCCCTCTGCTACTCTTTTATTAAGGAGCTTTGTGGGTAGGAGGGCTTCTGAAATGAATGCCATCTATTCTCACTGAGGATCTCTGCGATTTTGTTTTGAAAGCTTCCAGGCATAATGAAATAGACAACCTCAAATGCTGACGGATGTCTTGTAGAGTGGAGTTGCAGTAGACCATATTGGCTCCCTCCCTGCTACTTGGACATTAGTTTTACTTTTTCATTGAATTTTAACAAAACACAGACCAGCTCATATGACTATGGGAAGATTCCCTTCTGTGTATGGACGAGAAAAAGGTTGGATTCTGCGTGTATCTTTATGTTTTTACATAAATCATATGGATGTGTTCTCATCAGGTTTTTTTTTCCTCTTTGTCTTTGTTTCATTTCAGAAGATGTTCAAGATGAAGGCGGTTTTCTGCCACGACTGACGCCCCAGTGCGCTGAACAGAACAAGCAGTCCTGACCTGGCAACATACGAATGGCCCAGGGAAGCCACCAGATTGACATTCAGGTTTTGCATGACCTGCGCCAGAAGTTCCCTGAAGTACCAGAGGGTGTTGTATCCCAGTGTGTTCTGCAGGTGAGCAAGTTGAAATAGGGCTATGTTTCATTTCAGTTGATTGTAAACTTACAATATAACAAGCTAGTTAAGAATGTTATGATTTGATGGTATGGTATAAAATGGTATGTTAGCATCTTTGTCTCACCTGAAACATTGATATTGCATAGTGAGTTTGTTTCCTCTCTCTCTTTGCTTCAGAACAACAACAATTTAGACGCCTGCTGTGAATACTTGTCCCAGGTCAGTCCAGGCTACCTGTACAGTGAAGAAGGAAACCTCAGCTTTTCTGACGACCCCACCTTCCCCAGGCTCCGTAATCACATGACCCAGCTGAACCTGGGCCTGCAATCTCAGAATGTGCACGTGGCCCCGGTTCGGGACGGCCTGAGAATGAACGGCAGCCGGACTCTGGCCCACAGCCTGAGTGACGGGCCCCTCCAGACAGGCCAGGCCCCCAACAGTGACTTCTTTCAGCAGGATCCCCAGTCAGCCCCAGTGCAGGTGCCCTCCAGCCTCAATGTATTTGGTGTGATGGAGCCCACACGCAAACCGCAGCCTCCACAGCACCTTGGACTCTACCCTCTGGGTGTCAAAGGAACGAGTATGGGTGCCCAGCAGACACCGCGCTTTAACCCCATTACCGTGACGCTAGCCCCCAATACAGGCCGCAACACCCCCACTTCTTTGCACATACATGGCGGGCCACAGTCGGGCCTCAGCAGTCCACAGGGTAACTCTATCTACATCAGGCCCTATGTTAGCCAGTCCGGTACGACCCGGCAGAACCAGCAGCAGGGAGGCAGGGCCCAGTACAGCCCCACTTCCCAGCCCCCGCAGCAGATCTACCAGATCTCACACCCTTCCTCCCTGTCCGGCTCCTGGTCCGGCCCTCAGCACGCCTCCTCACATACCTCACAACACCAGACCCAGGGCCACCAGACCTCGCACGTCTATATGCCAATCAGCTCCCCAACAAATCCCCAGGCGCCCTCCATTCTTCCCTCCGGAAGCCTGGCCTCTTCCTCCGGTGTCTCCTCGTGCTCTTCTTCCTCTTCCTCCTCCTCTGTCATGCCCACCTCCCTTTCTACCATCAGTCAGTACAACATCCAGAACATCTCCACTGGCCCACGGAAGAATCAGATAGAGATCAAACTTGAATCTCCTCAGAGGAGCAACTCCACAACCACAACAGCCGTGCTGCGGACAAGCAGCGGGCCACGGTCCTCCTCCACCTCCTCCTCCTGTCCATCCTCTTCCTCCTCTTCAACCGGGGTGGCTACTGTCCCTACCACCCCTCTCTCTATCGGAGGCCCAGGTCTGAGCCGCAGCCAGCCCACTGTTTACATCTCTGCAAGCCCGCCTACTGCTGCTTCCACTCCCTCTGAGGAGGCCGTCGTGGCCTCAGCCGGCTCCCGCTCCCAACCCAAGTTTTACATTTCTGCCAATGCCTCCAGCGACGACAGTGGGGGAAGGAACCCTCCCACAGTCTACATCTCAGCCAACCCTCCCTTGCAGGGGCCCTCAGGGGCCAGGAACATGGGGGGCCAAGTGAGCATGGGCCCCGCCTACATCCACCACCATCCTCCTAAATCCCGTGCCTCTGTGGGAGGGGGAGGCACAGCTTCTTCCCCACGCGTGGTGGTGACTCAGCCCAACACCAAATACACTTTTAAAATCACGGTGTCACCCAATAAGCCCCCAGCTGTGTCCCCTGGAGTCGTGTCCCCTACTTTTGAGCCCAACAACCTTCTCAGCCTACCCTCAGACCACCACTTTGTGGAGCCAGACCCCCTCCATCTCTCAGACCCACTGTCGCCGCACAGAGAGAGGCCGAGCGAGCCTCGCAGACTCAGCATGGGCTCTGATGATGCAGCGTACACACAAGGTGAGCAATGCTGAGTATCATCACTTTGGTCATAAACAGTCTCTGCGCCCACACAGAAACGACTGCAGTAGAAATTATACTAAACGTAAATAGTAAATCACCTAGAAAAGTATTCTGAGTAGTACAAGTGCTTTAAAACTTTACATAAAACGTCCTCTTTTGATTATTTCTACAACATTTTATATTAGAGCTAGCATTGCAAAGTGGAGTCTGTGTTATTAGTTATTTCCTCAGATCACCTCTTATGCCCGTAGGTTTGCAAATACATACTTTAGATAAGGAGTTAACATCCACAACTTGGAGCAAAATCCTTCATCAAGTAGGCCTCTGATATCTTTCTAGAGCTGTTTGCTTCACTGTTTATTCGTTGTTTAAAATGTCAAGTGGCTAAAGAGTGCACAGTGATGTGGCACAAAAAAGAGCAGTTTTCAGACCTGTTGTAACAATGAATAATATTATACAAGGTTTTTTTTTTTTTTTTTGCTACCAGCACAGGGTCTAAATGCTTTTTCCACTGCATCCTGCCAAGAAAGTAATTTTACTATAAAGTGTACTGTGTGATTTTAAAAGTCTCTTTCCATAACATAGACTGTAATGTAATTCTTGAGCCAAACTGAGTATACTTGCTGTCACTAATGCTCAGTCAGCGTAGGAAACACTGCTCTGCATGTCCGTCTCTGTGAGGTAGATAAAAGCAAAGGTGACTCGCTCAGTGAGGGCCGGCATGATGATTTCAGTGTGAGTCCTCCTTACTAAACGCTGCGTTTGTTCCGACGACCCCTGAGACTGGCGGTTTCTGTTGTGTGAGTCAAAACGTGTCAGAGCACAGTGCTGTGTCCTTTTTTGGGCTTTTCACTGTATTACGTGTGAGTCACCAGCTCTGGCTCACACACTGCAGTGACTACCACCACCAAGAGGGGCTTCACGCTGGGCATGCTGCCTCTGCTGCCGACCCTCAGCCCAGTTTCTTCCTACTTAATCGGCTTTGGCTCGGAAACATGTTTATTGACACCAACATGGAACCGCTGTAACTGATTAAGACACACCTGTCAGCACACAACGGTTAATTAAACATTAATGTGTTTAACCTTCACCAGTCAGGATTTACACCAGGACTGTTACTGTTTGGCAGCAGAATAACATTATTGTGATTGTATAATTTTGTTGAAGATCCGGTTCTGATTGGCAAGAGAAAGAGTCTTTCAAATGACAGACTTAAGTTATACTGCCTTAACACCTGGTGCCAGAAGACATGACCCCTTTTGATTCTGCACGTTTCTTGGAATGCATATTTTTGTTTTTATGTGTCGGGTTGGTAACATCACACAGCCAGACTTACATCTTGTGAGCTTAAGTTTTCATTTAGTCAGATGCACGACAGATAATTCAGTGAGCGTTCGGATAATTACGCGACTCATTGCCAAATTCCTGAATCTCAAAAACAACAATTAAATCTAGGCGTTGCAGATATAAAATCAAGTGTTATTCTGTAACTGCATGATATATTTGTCACCTGAGCTTAATTTGGTGGATCGTTTAGGAGAAATTAGACAATGTTTTTAGAAGTTTGGCAGTTGTAGGAAAAGACAACATGTCTAATCAGGTGTAAGACAAGCCCATGTTGATGTTTAAGCTCACTTAAAATGACAGCAAACTAGTGGGGTGGGTTTTCCAAAAAGAAAGATTAGCTTTAAACAGTTTTACATGTGAAATGATAAATCTGGATGGTCATGAAAGTAGTTGCTCATTATTACACCATGAATAAAATAATATGGTCAAATCCAAGATCCAACCCCAAAGATTATTTGTTGTGATTAAAATGAAGGCACATTTGCTTTCATAGCTGAACTAAGATCACTGTAAAGCACAGAAATACATTACCAAACCAAGTTGTAAGTGCAAAATAACAACAAATAGACAACACCACATGTAATGAATAGAAGTACTTTTGGCAGCACATATAAAATCATCACCTTAATTTGCCTTTTTGTTTTCATTTTCAGTTTGTATTCAGCTGTACAAGTGCTGGGCCACATTTATATTCACATTTTGAACATTTAGCTCATTGTCACTATCAAGTGATATCACTGTGTGACTGTTTTCTGTTTATTGCAAAATACAACTCTAACAAACATCGTAACTTCCAAGAAAAGTACAGTTTTATCAAGGAAATGTATTCATCCCTATACATTACAAGGCTGTATAACAAAATTAAAGTTATGTAGTTCCTTCATGCTACACACAGAAAAAGATAATAAAATTCATGGAATAAAATAAAAGATACAATTAAAATAAATAAATTAAATAAAACAATATACAGAGTTATTTATATACATATACACATACAATTACACCAAGGAAATAATTCTGTAGTCCATCTATTGAATTTGTGTCTGGTTGAATGTAAACAGCAGCAACAAGATAGTGATGATAATATGGTTTAAAGTACAATCAAGATGAAAATTAAGTACAAAAATGCAATGTGTGACAGGTATTAAGCAAACAGGTAGCAATTTAGCTTGAGGACATTTTGACAGGAGAACAAGAGTATTATCTCTTTGTTACAGGACATTCACCAGTCGACCGTCTTCCCATAATTTGCCAAGTGGCATGTGTTTGTGTGGAGCAAGAATGAGAGAGTTGTTTATAGTTGAAAGACTGTGTAGGAGGTGTTACAACCTGTCAACAGATCTACCATGAATTATGGGAAACATGCTGTAGAGACTTGAGCAGATCGTGTGTACAGTTGATGTTCTGTATTAAACACTGCAGCAGAATTTGCCTGCAGCGGTGTGCTAACCGGGATAAGTCTGATCTCCTCGTGTTACCACAGTAGGTGGTGAAACGCAGACTTATGGACAACAGTGAGGAATCTGATGTGGTTCCCCTGTCTCTCCTTACACAAAGTTGTTTTTATGCACAGGGAATTATGCTCAAAACTGGTTGGACTGGTGTGTGCAGAGATTCGCCTATGGTGTACCTGAAAATGTGTCAGTACTGCATACTGAAGTTTTAGTTACAGTTACACAAGTTTCTTGATCAAATGTTCTTGCTTTTCCTCTTTTGATGATGTATCACGTTCGTTATGTTCACATTTTTCAGTAAAGTTTACCAGTGAATGAATATAGTACTGTTCTGTGTGTGTTGTCCAGCGTTGTTGGTCCATCAGAAGGCCCGCATGGAGAGACTGTGGCACGAGCTGGAGCTGAAGAAGAAGAAGCTGGAAAAGCTAAAAGAGGAGGTCAACGAGATGGAGAACGACCTGACCAGGAGACGGCTGGAGAGATCCAATTCGGCCTCCCAAATTCCTTCTGTAAGCTTAGAGATATAAATTTGTCAATTTTTAGCTGTTTTTGAGATTATTTGTTGGTATTTGATTTAATTTGATGGTAGGGGTGCAATGGTTCACAAAATTCATGGCTTTCTGTTCAGTACGCCAAGGAGGGTGGTTCCTAGTGAACTGCTAATATGATTGTATTAGCAGTCCTCTCAGAAATATATGATTTAAGAGTCATCAGAGATGGTCTTCATAGCTGCAGATAAATGTTTTTCTGGTTATTACTGACCGATAAAAGGCTGAACAGACAAAACAAAATGATCTGGGTCACATTGCCGCTCTTGGTTCCAGCTCATGGCACATCAGTACTCCTACACCCTGAAACTATGTTGATTACAGGGTCTGTTTATGATTTGGCTGATATTGTTCCATATTTTCAGACTGACGGAGCATACAGTTTATGTCAGATTCACTTCACAGTTCATTCTGGAGCTCTGCAAGCATGGTCTGCTGCTACTTCACAGAAAACTCTATAGCAGTGATAGTGAGAGTAAAAAAGGAAACAAAGTGAACGTGCCTTTTCATATTTATTTTCTGCACTGCTTGAGTTTGTTGAACCCTTTCGGGTTCAGATTAAGTGCTGTTCTTGGCTTTTTTTGTCGAGTCAGCTGTTTGAATCAACAGAGGGGGGGAGTGGCTGCGGAAGGTTAATTGGCTGGTGTTGCTGAACGCAGTAGCTCCTTGGTTCAGTGTTGTTTACTGAGGCGAGCCAGCTCTGGAGAGTGGAGCAGCTCTCCTCCTGACACGCTCACTGATTTGCTACACAGACTAAGAAGCAGGATGCCCGACCTTAGAGCTGCCTGCGTCTGACTGCCAACCGGCTCATCCCTTCCTGTCTCATTCTCTTTCAGATTGAGGAGATGAAGCAGTTGCGATGCAAAAACAGGTTACTGCAGATTGACATCGACTGTCTCACCAAAGAAATCGATCTCCTTCAAACAAGAGGTAGGAAACTGTGTGTCTGGTATCTAATATTCAATATTTTCATTTTGTTTAACTGGCACACAGCTTCTGTACATGTTTGCGCTGTATAATAATAAAGTTAACAATAAGTCATTGAGTGAGGGAGGTCAGATTTGATCCAGCGCTTGCAGCTGTAGCACGTCACTCAGGTCCGCTCACATCCTCTGCACACACACGGTCAAGTCGCTGCCATTGTGCTGTTAACTACCAGTTCTTCCTGAATTGCATCCTGTTGCTGGTTGGTAACAAGGGATTTATTGGCCCCCTGGCAGCACTCCACTGCTATTAGAGATGGAGCCACTGAACAACTGGTTTACACAGGTGAAGGAAGGCGAGATGAATGAATAGTACCTCTCACCCATGAAGTTACAGATGTGGCGATAACTGGGATCAGACATTTACTGCGACCAGTTTTTCCAAGACACGCTGAAATTAGTTTTAATGGTTTATATTTTTATAGTTCGTAATAAGTAGTTTTATAACACTATAGACAATCTTTTTTAAGTTTCAGCTCTTCTGTTTGTGGTTGTGTTTGTGGTTAAATCAGTCACCACAGTTGTATACAGTACGTATTTATGTATTCATTATTGAGTTAGTGTATTCAAAACACATTTTGGCATTACTGTGAAAAGCTCTACATGAACATTGTTATGAGCTATGAGAAAGGTAAATCCACTATTAAATGGAAAGTAAATCTTTCACTCTTCTATCTGTTTACAGGACCAGACTTTAATCCCAGTGCAATCCATAATTTTTATGACAACATTGGATTCCTTGGTCCTGTCCCACCCAAACCCAAAGGTACTTTATCTATTGGTAAGTTTAGAGAAGGTTGCATGATCATGTCTGGACATTCCTCATTTCATTGGACACATTCCTTGGATTAATTTTATTTTAGACTTCTTGTATTGGATTTACTACAGTAGTACTGCCCCATGTTATAATCATACTGATAGATTATATATGGCATGCATTTATCTAATTCATTTATTAATTTATTTCTTGCATTTTGTCTAATGTTTTCACACTGTACTTTGCTGACTAATGGCCATGTCAGTTGCTTCTTTAGATAATCAAACTACAAACTGTGTTTACTTAAGTACAGTCCAGTGTATGAAAAAACCCACCAGTATGACCTATTTAAGTATCTAAAAGGCTGATAGTACTAACTTCACTATTCCATTAATGTTTTCATCAGGGTTGTACCAATATGGGTTGTTGAAGGCCAATAGCAAAGTCTGTAAAAATGACCAGATATTGACCTGACATATACACACACGGAGTATCATGAGACGATACAACTTTGCACTGAAGCATCAGAGCTGTCACACACAGTGAGCCAACACACGTCATCCACTCTGAACACACCTGTGCTAAGTGAGGGATGCGTTTCTAATTACTGCTGAATAGTAAATGAAAAATGTAGTTAATCAGCCCAACATGTTGGTTTAACCCTGTTTGTGACTTCCGGTCTACTGATTTCTTCATTTCTGCACTTTTCTTCTTCCCTCCCCACCTGCCCTGTAATCTTTTTTCATCCATCCATCCATTCATCCCTCGCTCTCTGCTCGGCTCCATCATACCAGGGCCAGACAGGAGAGGATGTAGATATAATGTGACCTCTAAACTCATGATGGAACCCTCCTCTGGTCCTTCCCCTCCTCTCCCACTTGGTTGGTATCTCTGTCCTTCTTCTCTTCTTTTATTCTTCATCTCTTTATCATCAAACACTCATCTTGTTTTTAACGAGGTCCACAATCTTATTTTAGCCTTCTTGTTTTTCAGATTTGAAATGTAGTAGGTCTTTAGGTTATTTAAAGCTGCAGTAGGTAACTTTTATCAAAATAACTTTTTGTCATATAGCACTAGGAGGAGCCAGAGGAACCAGATTCACACATCATCTGTCTCATGTTCTACTGTCAGGATATAGTGAAAGTTTCAGCAAATATCACAAAAAGTTTTTTTGATATTAATCTCTTAATTCTTATCTTAATTTGAAGAATTTATAAAACCATATGTGTGTCCTGAAGAGATTTAACCATCTCTCACACACACACACTATATCCCATATCCTTTATTTAACCAGGTAATAAGTTGAGATTTCTGCAATTGCAGTTCTGGTCTAACTCTGGGAACCAACATGTGTAGAATATTGCGAGAGTGCAGGCCATATTGGTTTTGGTTTTACAGTACAATGTGTTACTTCAACAATGCTGCTTTCCACTATAATGATACTTTCCACGTCTAGACTCAATTGCATGCTCATGTGCTGACTCAGAAAGCTTTTAGAAACATTTTTGAGCAGACATGTTGCTCTGTTATCCAAGTTCTCCTTAATCCTTTAACCTGAAAACTGACTCCGGGTTCTGTATTTACATTAGATTACTGCCAAGTGGGCAATAATCAGATCACTGCGGTGCATGTAAACACACCGATACAGAAGTGTTCACTTCAACACAGCCACATATGTAAATCATTTTGAATGTCCATGTTTTCATCACTTAATGGATAAACTTGTCCTGACCTCCTCCTCATCCTCCCTGCAGACTCGGGCAGTAAGGTTGTGAAGCCCAACGCAGACCAGGAGGAGGACGAGGGGAAGCAGTGGAGCTGCAACGCCTGCACCTTCCTCAACCATCCCGCCCTCAACCGCTGTGAACAGTGCGAGTTCCCACGGCACTTCTGAGCCAACGAGGCTGCGACGCGCCACCCCCCATCCCCTCTCCTACGCCTACCTGCCTTGACTAGAATAGAAAAGGGCCCGCTCTGTTTCTCCCCCCCCCCCAGTTGTATGACAACTGGGACAGGTCATAGTCATCGTGCATCACGCGGCCTGATTTCCCTTGATTTTTCTTTTTTTTTTCTCTCCTCCTCTCTAAGGTTTGTAGAATGCTGTCCACTGAAGGCTCGACTGGATAGTGTTTACAGCTTGTGTTTTTTTCATAAAGGCTGGTAGAGTCGGACGATACCTCACCTTAGAGACTTGGATCGCGTGGGGTCACCTCCCCCCTCCCTTTTCTGCTCGACGGGTGACACTTTAACCCCCGGGGGATACCTCGCTGCTCCCACTTACAGTATTACGAGTGTGGCCCTGCAGTGTGACGGCACACATACATACATAGACACACAAACACACACACACACACACACACACACACACACACACACACAAACACACACACACAACACAGGTGCCAATGTGCCTTTTTGCTGATTGAATTTTATTTTTTTCTTCCTCTGTGGTGGCATGACCGGGGGGATTGGGAACTGTGTTCAGCCACTGCTCTCCATCTGAAGGGAAAACTAACAGACTAATCGTGGAGTTTGTTTGCTGTTTCTAGAGGATGTCAGAGGGGGAACTCAAATGTGCCTCTTGTCCTTCCCCTTCAGTATCCCCTTTTCTGTCTCTTCAGTCATGAGTTATGAAAAAAAATAAACTACGTTGCATGCTTTGTGTACAGTACACGGAGGCAGAAACTCCCCTTGAGCTTTTTACTGTACATAATTTTAGAATGTGCCTTAAAAGCCTTCTTCCTCACACTATGAATCACGTGTATTTCCTGTAAGTATAGCTTTATAGACTTTATTAACTTTTTTTGTCTTGTTTTGTTTCCCTCTTTCAAACAAATAAGCACCATGCTCCCTTTTTTTTTTTTTTTTTTTAAAGCTTTTTACTTGATTTCTGTGAGAGTTGAAGCCTTGCAGAAGGAGAGGAGCAGAGCAGTAAAAAAAAACCTTGCAGTCATCATGAAGCTACATCTGCCCGGTCCGTTCATCGCTTGTGTAATTGCTGAGTTTCCTGTGTACGATCTGTAGATGCAGCAAAGTGGAAGCCGATGGAGTTTTTTTTTTTTTTTTTTTTTTTTTTTTCCTTCTTCTTATTTCCAGGACACCAAATATGTCGGAACTGTTCGTGGGAGGGAAAGGCTCAAAAAAGCAAAAATTACAAACTGCCATCTTATCTGACAACTGGAATGTAGGTTTAACGTTTGGGGACAACTACACCTCAGTGCAAAGAGACGCTCATTTTCCAGTACAATCAGGATGTTGCTGCAGATGGATGTCAAAGTGCTCCTGGAACAGCTGATTGGCTTAAACGTTTCCATGTCGCTGTGCACCTGAATTGGTTGATTTTTTTTTTTTTTTTTTTTTCTGTGAGGTACCAAAGATCAAAGTGAATATGTTTCTGTTGAAAGTGTTCCTGTGATGTAGAAATATTCATATGGGTCCCATGCCTTTATATAGAGCAGGTCACAATTGTCACATCTTGGAAGCAGACAAGGCAAAAAAAACAACTTGTTTTTAGCAAAATGTAAGCACAACATGACTGTCCACTTTGTATACTCTTATTTTTTATTTGGCTCATTTCATCCTCCTAAGCTTTTATTGATGAGGGTGTTTCTAAAGTTTACTTATTGTCATTAACTTACCTTAACTGTGGAGTTGTTACTTTGTTTTGTTTTTTTCCACATTTGTGAAATGTTGCCTTGCATCATCAGTGCCTTTTTAGAACTATTGAATTTATATCAATAATCTATCCTGTCACATCCGAATGCCAATTTTTCAAACCAAAATTGTAGTATTGTTTAAACCCATTTAAAAGTAGAAGATGAATTATTGTCTCTCAAGCACTTACGCCATACTTCTTTCCTTTTTCCAACCCAAAGAAACCAGTTTTCAGCTTTTACCTGCACCTTGGTGTGAAGAGGCAGTTTATTCATGTTTTATTAAATGGAAAAAAAATAATTTGGATATCTAAAGTGTTTTTTGATTTTAGCTGGGAAAACTGTCTTTGTAACAGATAAGTTATTTGTAAAAATAATAAAAAAAATCTATTCTGAATTTCTTGATTTGTCTCTGTGATACTTTGGTACAATAATCAATATATTTATATCCACTAGATGGCAGAAGAGACCAGTACTGGCTTCAGTAGACTGTAGCTTGTCTGACAGATGTTCATTAACACTCATCTGGATTAATGGCTCTGATTGTGAAGGATTTAAACTAATGGAGCGTTTTCAGGCAAACCTTTTGCTACGTCATAGCAGGAAAACTGCACCTGGAGCTAATGGTTATGCAATGGGTGAATTCCACTTTGGTTTTGTCAGTTGCATTGTCTTAGTACTGGGCTGGTTCACACTTGGAAACATCATTATTTACACCTGTGTTTTCCTGTTATGACCAGTCAGCATGCCTCTGTGTAAAAGGTTTACTCAACTTTGACCGAGAATTTTGTCGCATGATGTTGAAAACTGTTACTGGCTTGAGTTTCTCTGCATGTTGTTTTGTTTTGATAATAGATGGAAAAAAGCCTGCATCCTCATTAGGTTGTGGCAACACTTGAACATTTTTTGTTAAGTTTTTTCCCCTTTTCGGACTCTCATGTCGTTATTTGTTGCTGACAGTAGAGTGATGGGGAACAACTTGTAATGGTTATCTCTGCCGGATATAAACAGGGGAAGTTGTGGTTCATGGTTGGCCTACGGTGCACCCCGACACTTAAAGTTTGAACCAACACAGAGCATTTCACATTCATCTGCTGAAAGTGGAAAGTTTCTCTGTGCTCATTGAAAAGCTGATTTTAAGGGGTGGGGCCTACCAGCAGGGTTTGTGACATCACAGATAGCTTAGAAGTCAATGCTGGTCCAGTATGCAACTTATACAGTGTGATCCACCAGTGCACATCCACTGAGAATGGACTTTACAGTGAAGTAGGAGACATCTTGTGTCCAGCAGGAAAACTTCAACAACATTTGCATATTAAAGAGATTCTGGAAGTTTTAATGAGGTAGAATGAGATGACTTTGACTATGACTTTTTAACTATTTTAATGTGGAAATTGTACTTTTTTGTGGAAAACACATATCCAACACACATTATTGTTCCAAGCACACTATTTGTATATATGTTTTAATACATGTCTGGGGTGTTCTTTATAATCAAAAGGTTCAAAAGTGCTCCGTCAGACCTCTCAGCGTGTTGCAGCAGGTATTTGGCCTTGATAACTGATGGAAAACACCTGCTCTGTCATTACTGATATGATTGTGAGAGTTTCAACCCCCAGACAGCAGTGCAGTAGCAGTTCCACATTGAAATCAGTGTTGATTTAAAATATACTGAAGAATAATCTTACCCACCTATAAGGAACATTTCATACATCCATCCAGTGATTGAAGTGCTTTTATTTCACAGGCATAGAAAAAAAAAACAAGCTTCTAAAATTCATATCAAAAACAGTTCAATGACATTCTTTACAGAAATACAGAATAGTGTATTAAGGGTTCCTCACTTTGAGGCAACATGAGAAAACAACACATGCTGCTTTAATAAAACATTTCAGTGCTACAAAAAGTAGCATGTACGGAGCGTAGTGCATTGCACTTTTATACTATAATAAAGAAATAACATTCAGTCTGCTACATGTTCAAGACTTCCTCAGATTGAGTCATTTTTTAATGCTAAAATAAAGGCTAAGTTTGGAATGTGTTTTGCAAGAGTCTTCCCACAGTATGAGTCATAATAATGCAAATTCACAGTCGTTTTTCACTTTGCTTCTGGGATGAGAACTCCAATGTGGGCTCAGTTTGAGCAAAAAACAAACAAACAAAAGAATCTTTCCAATCTAGAAGGAGATTTGGCTCGTCCTGTTGCTCTGGATGAGAGAAATCAGTTCAGACATGTCTGAGACGTGTGGGTAAGCATTCATGACTTGCTCCACCATGCTCTGAGGGAACAGGGTGCTCAGCTGGCTCCTCAGGCCCTTCCTCTGCTCGCAGGACGGGCTCTTGGCCCGTCCATTCAGCCTGCCATCAGAGGGGCCGCCCTGCACCCACGGGTCCCTTGGTAAGCTGCTGCAGTGTCTGTTCGAGAGCTGTCTGAAGTACTGCTTTTCTGAAAAATGACCAGGATAGTCCCTGGTATGTGGAGGCAGAGCAGGGCAGGAGCCCCATGCTGGCTGGTGGTTGTGGTGCTGGGACATTCTGGCCTGCTGGTGACCACAACTGCACTGGCTGCACACAGGGTGCTGGCAGGACATGGAACTGTTCTGATGAGGGTAGTAACCTCCTCCGCTCAGGCAGGGCCTCTGGGTGCTCCCACCAAATGACCCTGAGAGTGAGTAGTCGTCGTGGCTCAGGCTGTAGCTAGCCATCCCGCTGCTGTAGCTGTGGAGAGGCAGCTCTGTGCCATAGGGCACATCCTGGATGCAGACCCTGGACATGGAGCTGTCCATGGAGCTGAAGGCCTCGTCCACATCCGGGCTGGAGCAGTGGTGGAGGCTGGTGTTTGAATGGCTTCTCGGGCTGCTGCTGTCTCTCTGATAGAACTGCTCGCTTGGTGAAGTCCTGTGGGACTGATCCTCTATGCTGAGAGGTGGAGGGGTGGATGAGGTGTATGCACGCTCTGGCTGATACAAGGCAGGGAAGCATTGTGCGTCCTGCAGGCTCGTTTTGGGCGAGAAGTTCTTGGCTCTGTCTCTCAGCGCTCTCAGTTCATCGGCCACAGATAGCTGGGATTGGTTGGTGCGCTCTGGGTGGTAGAACTTGCACTTGACTCCATAAGTACACTTCTTTCCTGTAAAGAAAGAAACAAGAGGTTATTCATGGGATCCACAGCTGTAAACCCGTATCTCCTCAACAAACTATCAACACAGGATGTGTGTCTAGAACCCTTCACTACTGTAAGCTTTGGTAGCTTTGTAAACAAATTAGTTGGATGCTATTATTGCTGTCTCTCAGGCGCAATCCCTGACGGACAGGCAGCTAATCTCTTCATGACAGATGGTTTCAAATGCTCCAGTCAGGAGTCAACAAAGAGTAAGGAAAGACCCCCCCCCCCCCCACCAAAAAAAAAACTGGCTTTACCTCTCTCTTAGGCTTTTTCCACCAACAGGGAACTGGCTCCATTCTGGTTCGTGCAGAGTATTTCAACCAAAAATAAATGGTCAGAACTCGAAAAATATTAGGTTTTCCTTTGGAACCAAAATGGCTGTCATTGATCATGACATCATTTAACAGGTCAGTGTGCATTGTGCACCGCCCTCCGTTGATGACACATCCTTGATTACAATGGTTCTGTTCAAAACTGGTGGAAGCACGAGGGGGTTTGCTACACATCACCAAGGTTCCAAGAGTCTTGAATGGAACCGGTTTAAGAAGGAAAGTCTATATGTCACGTTCCAAATGAATTTTGTTTTGGTCATAACACTCCTAAAGTTTCAAAACTAGGTGCTTGAAATAGAACAGAGTCAGTTCCCTGTTGGTGGAAAAAGTCTTTGAGTGTGTCCCCATTTGGTCTTCAATCAGGAAATACAAGGTCGGATGAATTAATCTCTTATCTAAAAAAGATTATGCTGTATTGACATCATAGTTTCAGTGAAAGCAGATGGAAATTTTCTTGCAGAAGTAATGCAAGGCCAGAGATTTTCACAGTTTGGAACTCTGTTTCTAGTTTTCAGTTGACTCACAATCTTTTGGGACTTCCTCTATGGGTTGAGAAAACATTTTGGTCTGATGAAATCTTTTCTAAACCAGTTTGATAATCTAAAAAATATTCTGTGGGCAATCTGTTTCTGCCTTGCAATTCCCAGATTGACAACCCAATTTCTGGGGGGGCTTTTCTGTTGATGAGAGAGTTTCTGATGGTGGGACTCCATTGATTGGTCAGCCATTACAGCTCATGTGATTATGTAGTTATATAGTTTTTATTTGGTCAAACTGAAATATCTCAACAACTATTTTGTGAATTGCTATGAAATTTTGTACAGATTCCCACATTACCCAAAAGGTTAAATCCTAATGACTTTGTTGATTCCCGCCACCAGCAGGTCAAGGTTTTCACATATCCAGTGAAATATCTGACTATCCACTAGATGGATTGGCACACAATTTTAAACATTTGTTTGTTCCCAGAGGCTATAACCTAATCATGGTGTAATCCCTGACTTTCCATATTAATATGTTGGATATTTTTGGTTTATGTTTTGACCAATATATCTATTAGAATTATGACATTCCCATAAGCCTCAGCTATACTTTGTGTTTAGTGCTAATTATCAAATGTTATGAGTGGCTGCTGTTGAGGCTGATTCAGACTGTGATTATGGCTATGGTTGCTGCTTTTGGCTGTTAGTGAGGCTGTGTTAGTTTTTGACATGACTGAGTGTTGAGGTGAAGCTATTCCTAAACTTCTGGGGTGTACTTGTAACACATTGGGCATATCTGATAGAAGTACTAAGGCTGTGTATTGGCAAGAATCTGATGATACGATACGTATCACGATACAGGGGTTACAATTCAATATATTGTTATACTGTAAGCAAAGTGTCTGGCTCTACAGCACTATCTTGGCCAAATGTATGTGTTGTTGGAGTAGCCAATCACAATCACAATCACAATCACAGCCACTGAATGGCTGTAGCCACTGTTCACAGTGGTCACAGCCAGTGGCTATAGAAGCTTTCTTGTGGCACTAGTGTCAAAATAGCTTTTATTTTTCTTTCCTGTAGGTGGTGCACAATTGCAAGATCTACATCTGCAATTTGAAGCAGAACTGCAGGTCTGAAACTACTGGTGCTGCAAATGCACAAAACTTTGGTTGCTTGGCCTGATTTTAGTTGCTTCACATCATGACATGACACTGTGTATCATTTTCTACAAATATCAGTGTACATGAGTATGTGAATGTTCTTATGTGTGTACTAATTTCTACATCTGGCCCCTGGTGAAAAAAAATAATATAAGAGCTCTGAATTGTTTCTATGTTCAGTTGCTGCTTTGTAATATAGATAAGCAGTGGAGAGGATCACAACAGATATTAATTTACATGAAAATGTCACAGATCCAAGTGTTGATCACACACTTTGTATTCCTTAAACTGGTTCTTATTATATTGTGTCTATTGTGTGGCTGCTGTTTTAATCCCCTGGGAGAGTACAAGGAAGTGTAATCTGAGCAGGTGGATTTGTTGTTAGGTGAAAAAGAAATGTGAGCCTACCGTAAGGACAGTGCTGCAGCTTGTTGTCTGTGGTCCACGGTTTCCTTCGCAGAAAATCATCAATGGTGGGGCCATTTCTACCCAGAGGATCGTCTGGAGGCATGAACCTGCAGCAGCACAGAAACACAGTCAGGATCAGGTGACTTTAGCTGAACGAGTGCTGTTATGTTGGGGCACAAATGAACCTCCACTTTAACTAGTTTGCAGAGAAGGTGCCCCTCACACACACTGGTAACCTAAAGCTGCCATCTGTCTTACTTGTCATTAGCGAAGGTGTACATCAGCAGCCTCTCCTCTATGAACTTCTTCCACTGGGGATTCTCTGTCTGCAGGTCACGGTAGTTGTCGTTGGACACAATGATGCCGTCGGAATCGAAGGCCAGCTTGACGATGTACCGGTCATCGTAACACACCACCCTCTTACCGTTCACACAGCGGGACGGCGTGTACACCAGGATCTTCCTCCTCTCCAGCTCATGGAGAATATGTTGGTCTATGAAAAATGCACAAGAACAGTGTTTTATTATAAGGCTTATTGTTAGCTGATGGCACAGTAACCACCTAGTTCTTCTTGTGTCTGAAAAAACAATTAAAAACAAACACTGCTGTAATGGTTTCTTTAAGCATATTTTTAGCTGTGTTATCTTGTATCAAGGCCCCAAAGAATTCCCAGGATGCACTGCGGTTTCAAAAACCAGACTTTTGCAGGTGGCCTGGAAGCTGGTCCAGGAAGTTAATGGCAGAAAAATCAATGTTGGTATGAGACCTGGCAAAAGTTTTAGAAGTAATTGTATTTGTTTGATTCAGTTTCGTTTGGCTCACTGAGCAAAATTATGTCAATACACTGGTTGAGATGTCCTTTCATGATAAAGGTAATTCTTAACATTGGATATTAACCTGTTGTCAGTATATTAAATCTAATGTCTATTGTTTATATATTGAATGATTTTTTTTTGATGATTTGATGATGATTTGTTTATAGGTTTATGGTCCCATCTATACCTATCTACAGGTCTAGTTTTTAACTTATTCATAAATCTTTTTAAGAGAAGTGTAATTATAAATGTATTTTGTTTCATTTTATTGGAGGTCCTTAGTGTAAAAGGACATTTCAACTATTGGGCAGAGGCTCACAATCCAAAAACTGTATGTTTGTTGAAAAAAATAAAATGTTAAAATGTTAGTGTCCAAAAAAAGATAAGAAATGCAATTAAGTAAATAAATATTTTTTGCATTATATTTGCAGCACAGGATCATGTTCCACCAACATTATGGCTGTAAAAACATTCATGTAAGAAAAACAAGTCTGTTCTGGTGCTGGTTGAAGGATTTCCATGGATAACTGATGAAGGTGTGCATTTTATGTATCCAGAGAACACGTGGTGATAAACAGACGTACTGAGGCAGGTGACTTGCACGTTGCAGTCCATATGATCTTTATCTTAGAATCCTTGTTCTGTCAGTAAACTTTACAGCCTGATCATAAAAGGTGTGGAACTGTTCTTGGCACTCATAATGCTTCCTTGTAAACTGATGATGGGCACTTTCAGGGAAGAGGCTATTTTTAGCTGACTTGATCCAGCATGAACAGTATTGTAGATTTCACATTTGGTGGTTACACTTCCTCATTGTTTCCATAGACAGTTAGATACTTGTTTTTCACAGTGAAACTAGGTGAAATCCATTGGACGGACTCCATTGCCATCCACTGTAGCCACTGTCAATCCAAGCTGGCTACAGCTGCCCTCCCTGAGGGATCGGGTTGCCAAACAGGATGGAGATAACAGTCAGGGAAGAGGGATGGGAATTTACCAGCAGTCATCAGCTACGTGCCGGAGTGGCATATAACATGTCAGAACAGTTGTAAAAATGTTGGCTTTTCTTATTTCCTTAATTTCAGTGACCTTTTTGGTGATATTTCTAAGCACTGTCTCATGCTGACAAGAGCTAAGCGTACTATATGAGACTCCTAGAGTGTTGTGGTTTCTTTTTTTCCTATGGTTTATTCAAATGAGTCTTATTGTTTTGCTTCTGCAAGTGTAAATGCGTCATTTCCTGTACATTTTTCCACAGACAGTAGACCTCACCTACAGGTGTTTTTTAAAAAACACATAAGAGGTTAGTTTTTCTTTTGCTGTTGCTATTTGTTATTGATATTTTTACATCAATATAGTTATTGTGCTATACAAACAAAGTTATTATTAGTATTAACTGATATTTTCTTATTTAAAATGGAATATTGGGCAATTGTCAGTAATAATTAAGACCCTGGACTGATATTGAACCAAAAATAAAACACCCTTCATATAAGTTCAACCAAACTCTAAGCAAACCAAAGTCCAAAGAAGCATCTCATCTCATCCATAAATAAGGCTTAAATGCTGGTTCATCCTGATTAACAGGCAGTTTTTCCTTGCCCTTGTCACCAAGTGCTTGCTCATGGTAGTACTGTTGGGTCTCTGTAATTAATGTCATAGGGAGTTCGGTCTAGACCTGCTCTATTTGAAAAGTGTCCTGAGATAACTTCTGTTATGAGTTGGCACTATGCAAATAAAATGGAATTGAATTTAATTAAATATAAAGGTAATTGTGTTGCTTCCTCAACCACAATCTTGTGCAACCACAGTCACTGCCACATTAGATTAACTGTCTATAAAGCACCTGCAGCCATACAATATGATGTCACAACTGGGCGAGGTCAGACAAGCCTTAAAGGAAATAAACACAGAAACACAGAAACCCTGATTTATCTGTCCTAAAGAACAACAATAACATGGGAATTCATACAGTCGGTGGCATTTCCCTTTAACTGACCTCACACTAGGTCAGAGTGACTGGACAGTGCCATCTAAGCTCTTCAGGTGACCTTACCCGTGATAGGTGCCTCGGGTCGTGGTTGCTCCTTCCTCCACAGGGGAACGAACACAGTGATGTCCCGCAGTCCTTTGTCCCAGAACCAGTTCACTGCCAGCTGGAGGCCCTGGCACGAAAACACCTTCTTGTCTCCATGGCTGCAAAGGGACAGAAGCCCAGCGTCAACAAAAAAAAAAAAACTTCTTCTTTTGTCTTTCCATGCATGTTATGCAAACACGTCTCTTCTCCCTTTTTCAGGAAGTAGACAGTGTCGCAAGGCGTATGCTCAAAGTTCTCTTAAACACAATTACAAAAGCATAGAGATGAGTAACTGTTCACATGCACTCAGTCTCAAGGAGTGACTTATTAATCCAGTTAAGATTTCTCACACAAAATGAAGATGTTCGGCAGCTGCTGATGGTGTCAGTGTTGTTGAGGTTAAATCTAGACCTTCATAATTTCTGAGGAAAGAGTTGTGAGTTATGTTTTATATAATAGTGGTTTTAAACTCCTTTCCATCATGGTCAAGATCATGAATTAAAAAATGAGGCCCTGTTCATTTTAAACTTGAAGCACCTTGATAAAAGTCAGTTTTATAAACCTGAAAACCTAACCCTGACATGTGATCAGTTCTGTACAAGTTCACCTGACAAACATCTGCTCTCTGAAAAACTGGATTGCTTTGTTTTATGGAGGAGGTAAAAACTGTGCGTTTGGGTGTGTTTGGGTGTGTGTGTGTGCACATGCCAGGGGATTCCCTTTCTCTCCCTCAGCAGGAAGTGGTCAAACACTTTGCATACAACAGGCAGTAAAGACAAGGCATGTGATCGATTTATACAGAATATGCAGTCTGCTCTGCATATCTTTACTGGTGTGTCAAAGTTTACTTTGAAAGTATTTCCTTGATCATATATACTTGCAGCCTGTAGCTCAAATAGAATCAATGCTGTTGGAGTCACACATTCAGTATGTTCACATCTGATTTATTTGCAGACTTTAATTACTTACTCTTCTTTTTGCTCTGGTTTGGTAATAAAACATATCTAGCTCTTTAGCTGCTAAATTCTCCACTGTGTCCACAAGCTAGTCTCTATGTCTGTCTGCTGTTTGGTGCTGACGGGGTAGTGTATGAGAGCAGAAAGACTGAACCAAAACATGAAAGTTGCAGGCTGTAAAAGCAAAACAAGAGCTAAAACAGGCTAAAATAAACTGCAGAGTGAGGTGCTAATTATGTGGGTTCACATTGCATATAATCATTTAATCTGTTGTTAATCTGAAAACACTGATGAGTGCGGTTTAAAGCTTTCATCTTGCTTCATATTCTGTGCTCTTTTTAAACATTTTGCATTAAATCCTCTGTCTGTCTTCCAACTAAGATAAATGCAGTGGAGTTAAATATAATATATATTTGATATAATAATATAATATTTCCCTCTAAAATGTCAGAATCGAAAAACTGCACTTAAAGCAGCTACAAGGAAATTTCATTTTGTGTTGATTCTAGCAGCCACTGCGGACAAAAGGAACAGTGTTTCTGATTTCAAGGGGAAACCGACTACATCCAAGGTGGCAGGCATTAAGAATAACTATATGGAACTAGCCAATCTTCTCGCTGATGAACTTGTTTATTTCACCAGTTCAACCAGTTGTTTAATGTCTTCAGAGAAAAAGACTGAAGTGAGATTGTATGAGTAATCTTGGTTTGGGCTTGGAAACAAATTTAAAAATGAAAGGCTGCGGTACATAATGGGGGCGGCAAGTGTGAAAGACGTGGGCACTTACTGGACAGCGAATGTCTAACAAAAGATAATATTGCATTGCATTGCAAGTGTAGGATCCTGCTTTTGCAGCTCGAGCCATAGCAGGGACCTAAAGTCAGGATATCTCGACCTCTGCTGCTTCAATTTTGACCATTATTTTTTTAATCTGTCTCTCAAAAGGCTCCCAACGTCATAAGTGCAATACTAAATTGCTCTAAATAACTGATGAGGACTGAAAAATCATGGTGAACGAGATTGGACATATTCAGGTGAGGTTTCTTTGAAAGGTGACCAACTGTCCGTCACTTTGAAAGGAATGAAAGGCACTTAAAGGGAAACAGAAAGAAGAGACTCCCTCACAGCCTGAGGCTGGACCAGAGTCACACTGCCTCACCTGGGACTTAAAGGTGTGACACACATACTTCAGCCCTCTTCCTCTTTCAGAGTCATATCCTTACAGGAACATGTATTACAATAACATCTCTCTTTTGTTTTCCATTCTGTTTTCATATTATGCCCTTCACCTACTTGCCATGTTATTTGCATGAGCAGATTTTGATTCAGAACTTCCTTGTTGCCCAATTTAGGTCAGGTAAAGCATGAGATCAGATGTGGGAATTTCACTGCAGTATAGTGTTGCACATATTGCATGTCACACTAGATAAGAGTATCACCCTGCTGTAAACAGCTCCAATCTGATGTGAAAACTGCAACCTCAAACACTTTGCCCCTCAGGCATCATATAATGTTGAACTGGGTGGACAATAAGGGAAGAATATAGGCACACACTGTTTTCACTTCCCACATATTTAAAGAGGAAGTGTGGCATGATCAGATCTGTGAAGTGAAACACAAGAGTGACACAAGAGACGCTGATACACAAATGGAAATTAGTTCTAAAAAGTAAAATACTGCAGTTATGTTGGTGTACTTGGAGGTACTTGTACTTCCTTGGCTTATATTAGACTGTGCTGCATTACAACTACTTTGCAGATGAAGATTTAACATACAAAACATGACTATCTTCTAAAATTGAATTCAATTTATATGCACTAAATTAGCATATAAAGTAGTTGAAAAAAATTAAAATGTCACTAATGTATTAAGGCATCAGTAATAATATGTTACATAATAATATAACACTCTCAAATGGAACATCCTGTTCAACAAATACTTTTACATTTTGATTTTAAAAAAAGTACATTTTGTTGGCAACACTTGTACTTCAGTAACGTTGAATGTACTTTTACTTAAGTAAACTACAGAGTACTTCCTCCACCACTGCAGCTAAATATAAACATACTCAAACTGAGTAAGTATTCTTAATGATAAATGTACTCAGCTGACTCACCTCATGGCCACGTTGCTTCCATCTATAACCACTGGTCTGAAGCCAGCAGCTGGCTCTCTGTCTGATCCAGGTCTGGGCTGACTGGGACTGGGGCTGCAGCCTCTGGGCACCAGCTTGGGACTGTTGGGCACACTTTTGTTGCTGGAGGTGCGAGTGTGGCAGGTCTTTATCAGCTCCTCCAGGATGTCGTTGGTCTGGGCGTCGTGGCGGAGGCTCTCCAGCACCCTCAGGATGTCACTGTGAGAATATCCCAGCTTGAGGAATCGCTCCACTTTGGCGTGCTGCTGCTGCTGGTCCATCGTGGAGGCTGATGCTTCACAGCTCGTGTGCTTCCTCTGCTTTGTCTTCTTAGGACTGCCTGGCTGGGGAACCCTCCTCGCCTCCTTATTCTGTCTCACCAGCGTCTCCACGGCAACTGCCTGTGTTTTTGAACAGTTGACAGGTTGACAGGTGTCATCGTAAACACAGGAAGCACAGTTGCGGTCTTACAGGGGTTTTCGGACAAATTGATTGTGGTTTGGTGTTTGCTGATAGAATCTGCTCTGCTTACCACAAACTCATGACTGCCAACGCAAGCACAAACACTGACTGACGTCACGCTGGTTAAGAAAGCCCCTGTCACACACTCTGAGAGAGGAAGCTGAGGGTCTGCACTGATCCCTGGTCTAATTTTACCACCAGAGTCATTGGGGTCAGTTACCAAAACAAACATGAATGTAAGTGATGTGAATGACAGTGTGGGTATTAATGCTATGAGCCTCACCCCATTCCAGACGCGTTTTATTGCTGTTTTTGGAAACCCCCGTACTCCAAAGACAGATCACACTGATGTATTTGAGGCTGAATGACTCAACCCACTTCTTCCACTTTTTCTCCCACAGAGCTATACTGAGTGCAAAACTTGGGCAAACTTCTTACACGGTATTAACAGTGAAAACATAAAACCACTGTAAGAGCGACTGAGAAGGCATGTCGAGTTTAAAAATAAAAGCCCATAAAGGACTGAACTCTGTGCTTGTTTCAGACAAAACATATGCATCATACTTCTTTCTTTGTACAGTCTTTTTGATCCTTGCCACGCCAGATGGATTGATTAGCCTCTCCTGTATTGGATATGTCAACCTAACATTTGAAGTATGAGGAAAAAGATGCGATGCAAATCTTGTCTGGGTTTCCTTGTTCTACAGAAGCCAAAACAAAAAAACATCTTAACGGAAATGAAAAAGGGCATAAACAGGACAGGACTTTACAGTTGAAGTTTCTACCAGAGACATCCTCTCCTCTACAAGGGGCTTGGCTTTGCACAGGCTTGCTACAACCTGCACCAAACCACATCCTCTGCTGCGGAGTTGACATTCAGTACATGCAAGGGTACTCAGATTCATTCTATTCCCCCTGAAAATGAAGAGTATGATTATCTCTGCTTCATTGCCTCACATAACTCCAGCAACCTTTGCTCTTGCTGTACTCACAAACAGATCTGACCCTGATACCTATTTGCCTATTGAAAATCTGAAACATGTCAAGTCTGAAAAAGACAAAAAAATCCAAGCTCGGTCTGAGAATTCACATTTAAGACGTCACGACACTCAAGTTGACTTTATTCTGTACTTACACATTCAGCAAGTGGCAGATCGGAGCATGAGTCTCTCCAGCGGTGTCTGTCTTTCTCTCTGTGTGTGTGAGCTGCTCTTAGTCAGTCAGTCAGTTGCTCTGACAAGCAGACCGGTCTGTGTGAAACAGCTCTTATTACTCATACGAGGAAGTGACTGCTCGACTACTGAGGGAAAAAAAAGACTCTCTGACCAGCAAGGAAGAGAACGCTGTGAATTTTACAGATCACTACTTCCTCATGTGGATTCACAGTTAATCTGGGAGCCAGAGGGAATTATTTACCCCCTTCTCCCTTGTTTTTTTTTTTTTTAGCTCTTCCTGGTGTGGTGAAATAAATGCTGACTGAATGTCTGTGACAAAGCAGTCTAGAGCACCAGGAAGCCTGCTAAAGCCAGACTGAGGCAACATACTTTTGAGGTTTTATAAGTTATTTGGACAAGTTGTTTTGAATCAGTTTAGTTTGTAGGGCAAATGTGTGTCAGAGCTTCCAACATTAATGAGGAATGTTAGATTAGTGGTTAAGTAAAAGGTGTAAGGAAGTGCTCTTATTCGCTTTTTGGAGGAGAGTTAGATGAGAAGATTGATACAATTCTTAGATATGAGCCTATTTCCTAAAGTTTGGAAGTATTTCTTTAAAGGACCAGTGTGTAAGATTTACTGGCATGTAGTGGTGAAGTTGCAGATTACAGCTAGCCTATTTGAATGCTCCCCTTCCAAGCATGTAGGAGAAACTACGGTGGCCGCAGAACTCAAGAAAAATGAAAAAAGCCCTGTCTACAGCCAGTGTTTGGTTTGTCCCTTCTGGGCTACTGTAGAAACATGGCAGATCAACATAGACTCCATAGAAGAGAACACTGTAGATAAAATTATCTCATTCTAAGGTAAGAAGATCACAATTCTTATATTCAGGTGATTAAATATTAATGAAAAGATACCTATGAATATTATATTCCATTGATGGCGTAGTTGCTGTCTACATGCCTTTATACCAAAATTGAAAGATTTTTACATAAAGCTGATCATTTTCAGATATTCAATATCAATGTAAAGCAATCTCCAGTTTCAGATAGCCAACATAAAAAATAACATAGCATATATCTCATATTATTTATTCAGTCAAAGGAGATTGAGTTGTCACCCTTGACAATGAAGACATTTCTGTTGAAAACTGGATCAATATTTTTTTGTTTTTGAGGAGTTTTAAAAAATAAATGTAGATATTTTAAGACTAAACCCAGAGGAGTAAATCCAAGAAAGCTCCTAAAGTGCCCCTTGTGTCAGAAATCTGTTTTTCTTCTTGTTCCTATGTGATGTTTGATCTTCACTTCGCAGAATGCTGCCTGTGAAGAGTTTGACTCTAGAAGGATGTTTTCACATTCATCTGCTGAAAGTGGAAAGTTTCTCTGTGCTCATTGAACATCTGATTTTTAGGGGGCGGGGCCTACCAGCAGGATTTGTGACATCACAGATAGTTTGGAAGTCAGTCCTGGTCCAGTATGCAACTTGTACAGTGTGATCCACCAGTGCACATCCACTGAGAATGGACTTTACAGTGAAGTAGGAGACATCTTGTGTCCAGCAGGAAAACTTCAACAACATTTGCAGAATCTTAATTTTTTTTATTTTATTGAGGTAGAAGGAGGCCTTTTAAGGATTTTATCGATAAAATTTTACTTTTTCTGTTGAACAAACATATTAGACACACATTACTGTTCCAAGAAGACTATTTATATATATGTATGGAGGGAATCTTTAAGTTATTTTCATTACTAGAAATGTTTAAATTAATTTCAGATAGTCCTGTTTTTATTTATGTAATTGTATTTTAGTTATTTAGGTTGAAGCTCTTTTGTGAATGGTATATGAAAATGTGACTTGTTGTTTGTACTTGCTCAATAAATATTATTAAAAATTATATTTATTTAGTGGGAAGCTCAGAAGAGAGCATAAGTGTGCCGCAATGTCAAATTTGCTGTTTTACAGGCCTTCACAACATGTCAAAAATACCAAAAATGTACATTTGTGGCATGAAACTGCTCACCATTGTTAAATGTTCAACATCTATGCACATTTCCAACTTCAGTTACCCGACCTATATCAGCATGTCACTACATAAAATACCAGCACTGATACTGACGTTCACAAAACCACATGGTGATGTCATATCCAGTGTCCTGTTTTAGTCTTCACAGCATCTGAACATGTGAGACAGGATCTTGCTGTCTCTGCTGTCAGCTGTCCGTCAAATGAACAAAGACATTAATTCAGACACTCAACCATCAAACAACATGCAACAAAGCTCAGGGCTTTCACACACACTAGAGCTAAAAATAGCTCAGCAGGGTGTTTGTTTTTAGGATACCTGAGGAAAGGCAAGTGAGTTAAGATCCAGGCCTTAATATTAAAAACAATAACATAAAATACTATGGTTTACTTGAGTATTTTATGTTATTGTTTTTAATATTAAGGGCAGTTTGAAACCAGGAGCTCACACAATGGGACACAATTTACCTGAACTGTCTGCTATTCTGAGAAATGCACAGGTCAAAGAGCACAAACTGTGCTGACAGTGTTTACAGAAAGCAACCTGGATTGCCACACTAACTTAATTGACCTTACCCTAACAATAAATTAGTTACCAACAGTTGTTTTAGTTCTTAAATTGTTGGAGTTAATGAATAAACTGTTTAAGGCAATCGGTTTCCTCAAACCGTTTGAGTTGAACTAACTCATCAGGTATTACAGTGTAGTTCTTCCAGCATGTTTACTTTTAAATCTTTGGATAAAACCGATATGCCTGAACCAGAGCAATGACATCATGATGAAACATGAGAATAAGGACATGGAAACGTGGGAAGAACATGAGTGAACATAAATACTCACAATGAGACAGCATTTTGTGCTGCCTTTTTTGATATTTATCCTTTATCTTACCAGGATGTTGGCCATGCAAAAAAAAGGGCTATCAGTGTGTGTGTGTGTGTGTGTGTGACAGAGAAAGGGGGAGAGAGAGAGAGAGAGAGAGAGAGAGAGAGAGAGAGAGAGAGAGAGAGGAGGAAATTGTTAATTGGAATTTTATTTATTTACACTTGCATACAGGTACACCATACACACCATGAGTGAGCAAATGAGTTTAAGACAGGCACAGTACACTGTTTTTCAGGAAGGACAAGGGAAAGTGTGATGTGAAAGAACAATGAAATAATAGGTTGACATGTTGTTATAACAAGAAACTTCCATAGCCGTATAAAAGCTAACCCAGTCAAATGTTTTCCAGAAATGTCACTAGAATCAGATTTTTTTAAAAATCACTTTATCACTCATCTTAAAAGAGTTATTTATGCTTTTATCAAGTCTTGTCTTGATTATTGTAATGCTGTGTTTACATTCCTTGGCCAAAACTTGATAACATGGCTTCATGGGGTCCACAATGCAGCCACCAGACTTTTATCCAAATCTTGAAATCTCTCCTGTTTCAGCTTCCCTTCACTGGCTGCCTGTCTGTTTAAGAATTGATTTTAAAATTTAGTAATGACCTACTAAAATGGCACCGAGCTACCTGGCTGAGCTTCTAACTCATTACACTGCAGCCCATAGCCCGATACCCTCTGATAAGGCTCTGTTAGCTTTTACTGTCTGGCCTTTTCTTAATTGTTTTATCTGTTCTTTGATGTTTTCTTTTATCTATTATTTTAACTTTACATACAACAGTTTTATTCATTATTCTTATTTGTTGATAGTGATTTGAACTTGACCTTGGCAAACATTTGTTTGTCAAAATCTATCTAGAACAGGCACTGACATTGGTCGCATGGTAACCATGGCTAATCAATGTCACTTGCAATAATATGCCTGTCTGCCAAAACTCATCTCACTGGCAATGGCAAAAGCATTCTTTATTTCTGTCTCAGTCTTGACTCGGTCTCTCACATTTGGACTTGGTCTTGAGTTGGAGTAGAACCTCTTTGGACTCCATCTTGACTCGCTTTCAACTAGTCCTGGTTTTGGACTTGACAAAGGTTGTCTTGAATAGGTTATACTAAAATGGTGAAACTGGTAAACAATATACCTGCTAAACACCATGTTAGCATTGTCATTATGAGCATGTTAGCATGCTGACGTTTGCATTCAGCTCAAAGCACTGCTGTGTGCTCAAGGAGGGCAGTAGAAGTGTTGCTTTGTCGTGGTGGCAGCCACATGCTGCTGTGTAAATCAGCTAATATGATAAAAAAAAAGTTCATATTCTTTTCAAAGGAACCTCTGTAAGAAACCATACTTCACACAGAATGAATTAATGATAAAGAAGAACGCACAAATCAGCACCTGATGAAGTTAAGGTAAAGTAAAATGTACGTAGTGACTTTGCCAGCATTATGTGTGTGTGTGACTTCCAGTCAACAAGTGAATCATTTTTAAGACAAATTGCAACACTTCTCTGCAGCTCCACTCTCCCAGGCTTATTGTGTAATAGAGACTTAGCTGTCAGTCAACCCACACAGCAATCACCATTTTAAAACAGGACCGCCTATGATATGCTGTATAGTGCTATCGGCTTAGCATATACACACATTCCATTATAAGAATTCTAGGTATTTGGCTGATAAAGTAGTAAAACCAGCACAACGGCCGAGTCTGTAAACACTGCCAGTGTTGAAAAGTATATTTTCTCAAATATTGTACTATTATATGCTACTTTATATTCTAGAGGCGATTATTGTACTTTTTACTCCACTACTTTTACTTTTTTTTTTACTTTTACTACAGCTATAATAAATTAGCAGATTTCAAATTTTACACACAAATCTTTGATCATCTTATAAAATATGATATACTGCCCAAAGATATATAAAGTAGGTTGACGAAAAGCTATATTTATTCCAAATGCTGCTGACATTTTAATGTGTCAGTAACAATAATGGTAAAATAAATTAAATCATTTATCACAATGGAAGGGGTCATTCTGTAAAATTAACACTTTAACGTTGAAGTATTTGTTGTATTGCTTCTTTTTCTGAAAGCTATAATATGTAACATCTCTGCAATAACATTTCTATAAACTCTAGAGCTATGTTGTATATGTAGTTGAGCTGTGTACTTCCATTATCCAAATGTTTCCAACAAAGTTCAAACTCAGAGAAATCTGTCATTTTATTCAGGTAACGCTGCGTTTCACCGGTCGCCTGACAATGGCGTCATATCCCCTTTGTGCCTGCGTCAGCGTTGTGGTTGTCTGCCAGAAGCTGTCATACATTGACTTCTTATCCAGTTTGAAGCCACATTTCTACCATCCACTGTTTAGATCTTGGTACTTTTTAACTCTAGATTTGAACCGGATGAAGGATTTTAGTAGTGGGACGTCTGGATCTTAAGTTATCAGAGAAACAAGCTGAGCTAGCGTTTGCTCACGGGACGTCCTTTGTCCAGTTGGTAGGCGTGTGTAGGATTTAGTGGCACCTAGTGATGAAATTGCATTGTAGTAGAAAATACGGGGGCTGTGAAACTTGCAAAAACGTGAAAGGCCCTATCTAGAGCCAGTTTTTGGTTTGTCTGTTCTGGGCTACTGTAGAAACATCACAACTCCATAGAAGAGGACATGCTCCCTCTGTAGATAAAAGCAGTGTGACTACCTCCCTATGTATATTATATTCCATTTCTACCAATAGATCCTCCTAAATGTTACACCTTTAAAGCAAATGTCAGGACTTTACATTATCCTTGTGACTTAAAACAATTCAACATCTGTTAGAATAAAGTGCTGCTAAGGCACAAAACTGGAACAATATTTTTTTTCTTAAATGACACATAGTGCTTTTGGTTCCTTAAAACCATATCTGTTTTTACCCTGTGTATATACACTGCATGAAAAGAGGAAGAGGTACAGCAGATGATGAGGGGTAATTTGTGTTTGTAACCACTGCACAAGTTGTACAATGACCATAACTTTCCTACATGGTTTGTCTGAGCTTGCTCAGATGGGGTCCTGTTAACGCCTTCAGCTGGGTGTATACTTCCAAGCAACACCTTATTTTTCTTTAGAAAGACACATGGCTGATGTGGTGGCAGAGTGAATTAAGACAAAAGTGAATCATACAGCGGGAGTGCCAATATTTCTTATAAGATTATCATCATCTCTTAACACAAGTGCATTTATTTTATCAAGTGAAATGGAGAATGTCAATGGATATGATCTATATTATTAGATTACTAATGTATCACTGTACTTTTTATGTTTGTTGTCCATATAATATGCAGTAATCAAACATACTGTGTACAGTATGTCAACATAAGCCTACACTGTATGTTCATTTAGGAGGGTAATATACATAAAAAATATAATAATATATATATATTATTATATATAAGAAAATATGATTGTATGGAATGTGCTTAAATGATTTCCTTACACAGTGTGTTAAATGTGATCACACCCTCTTCATTCAAATTCTCACTCACCAGATCCTGTTCAGATATCTAGGGCCAGCTGTCTGGTCTTTTTGTTTATCTTAATTTATTTCATTTTAAACGTAAATTTGTATTTATTGTTATCATACTACCATAGTTTGGTTCTGTACTCTTACTGTAACCCTCCTGTGTTTCATTCGTCTTCTTCTATCTTAAATGTTTTTTGTGCTTACACTTGAACTGTCATTTTAACTGTTCATAGCACGCTTACCGACACAACTGCTTTTAAATGCTTTAAAGGTCTAGTTAAGAGGATCTATTGGCAGAAATGGAATTTATTATTCATAGGTATGTTTCATTCTTCATTTCATTTCATTGTGTTTTCGTTACCATAGAATGAGCCTTTTTTATCTACAGATGCCATGGGTCGCCTTCTACCATGTCCACCATGTTGAACCACCATGTTTATACAGTACTTCAGAAAGGAAAAACCAAACACTTGCTCTAGATAGGGGCAACTGCAACCTTCAGTTTTTAACAAGCATACAGTTAACATTTTATGAACCTATTACACTGTTTACAAATCGATGAGCACACTTTGTCTTAAGAAAATGTTTCCTTTTCTAGTTAACAGCAGTAAAAAATGTAAATGTATCAAAATCTAATGTAGGATGTGAAACCTGTTAAATGTCAGAGAATGATTTATGAGTTACAGTTTAATGTTGTGCTTGGTAGGACAAAAATTTGAAATAAAATCGTGCAAATATAATTGTAAATTTAAAGACATCCAGACATGTATTTCCACAAAAAAAATACTATAATTTTTACTTTCAAAAAAGTTGTAAATGTGCAGCCATTGCACACCAAATAACAAGAAAAACATTTTGTCAACTAGAATGTGTGTCATACGTTACATAGATAATAGTGGCTACTAGTCCTGAGTCCACCTACCTAGGCTAGCTCTGGATTCCAAATCCCAAAAATTAAACATCTTACAGGAAAATAAAGAATATAATAGTGTGTGGACAGATGTACTGTATTTGCCACATTCTATTAGTCTGCCCTACACAGTGCACTTCCGGTATGCATGTTTGCATAACTAAAGGTGCAGTATGTGGGCATGAGCCTGCCTATGTTAGGAATTTGAAATGATGAGAGTGTATGACAGCCTTGACACGACAACTTCCCATTCTGCTATAGCAACAATTCATTTAACATTCTTGCTTTCCTTACGTTGATGGCGCAAGAGAGCAGAACAGCAGAGAGCAATGAGGACAAGGACATGAGTGAATCCTATAATGAGAACACCTAAGGCTTGGTTCAGTATGTGACTATACAACGAGTTTTACTCTCAGTCAGAACTTACTCAAATGACTCAAAATAAGACTTGGATCTTTTCAGTTTGGTATCAACTTCACAGGTCTAAAACTAGCCGCATGCTAACCTTCATTCCTCCACTGGTGTTTAATTCAGAACCAGCTTGTTGTTATCTGGGGCGTGTTGGTATATGCTCTGTGATTGTACAGAAGGTTAAAGGTGACAGTGAGATGTGCGTACAGCGTAGGCGGGTGGGGAAGTCTCTTGCAGTGGTTCCATACGAGGGAGTGAAGCTGTGCAACCCTTTTTTTCCACGCTGCTCAGTGCTGTCATCTTTCAGTTCTTATTGACTCTCCCCTACAAACTATTCAGCTTCACTACAGAAGACTTCTTTCCATTCCTCACTGCACACAGTCAACCCCGCCTCCGCCCACAAAACAACTTGGTGTTTTCGGGAAACTCAAAACAGTGTGGTGCCTCTTTCTTAAGAATTACACAGATAATCAAGGGACTATGGATGTGTGGGTGTGTGTGTGTGTTTGTGGTTAGGTTTTAATCACAGAGAGAATACTGCCTAACAGAGATGTACTAAAAGCTTTAATAAAAAGGTTATAATCTATTGTATCCCATCTCTTGTATCTTGTCACCTCACAACTAAAACATTCCTCTATCTTTCAACTTGCCAGCAGAGATATGCTGGCTTTCAGTTTGTGTAGCGATATATTGAGATCACCCGGTTGTACGAGGTGGGTGGAGGGAGACACCAGTGAATTCCCTCAGTGCTGTGGAGACACACTCCACCCAGCCAATTTTCCATGCCCACATTTTATGAATGTAAAATAAAACCCCCTAACTGTTGAAACTAAAGTCAAAGGTGAAGTTTTAATCATCAATCAACTTTGTTCTAAATTGGGAAGTGTGTGAGGGGAGGAGGTAAATAACAGAGCAGGAAGTCTGTTGTGAAATTTAAATGAAATACATAATTGATAAAAAGTTAAGACAACTGTCACATTTTGGGGGATTTGAAACTTTTTTTTAATATACCTGTAAAAAAAAACAAACAAGCATTTCTCAAACATTTTTATTCTTTCAGACAATGTGACAAGGACCTAATAATCATCAGTTTTTTTTCTTCTAAAAGTCCAAGTCAAGTGATTTTAAAGGAGGTCAGTACTTTTGGCTTGTGAATACTTAGATGCCGTATAATTCATGCTGAATAACATTCATGCCCTCTCTGTTGCTCCACTCTCCTGCCACAGAAAGATATTCAATGAATTGGTGGTGAACCATCGTTCATTCCCTGCTCTCCCTCATCTGTATCTACTCCTGTCTTTATCCTTGGACTTCTTGGAGGAGCGGCTCGGGCTCCAGTCCTTGTGGCTGTGGCCTTTATCACGGCCCTCTTTTCCGTGTTTGACCCGAGACTTGCTGTGTTTGTGGTCCCTCTCTCTGGAACGGGAGCTGGAGCGGGATCGAGAGCGCTGGCGTCCCATCTTCCTGTCTCGCCGGCTGTCCTCGATGTCCTGGAAAGGTCAAGACAAGACAAAGGGTGTGAGACAGAGTAAAGGCTGTTGATGGGAAAGCCAAATATGTCAAGATAGGCGAGCAAGGTTGCGTTCAAAACTGTCCCAAGGTTCCTTTGGTCTGGACCAAAGCAGAAACCACTTTGGTTCACTACATGGAATCATTTTTTAAATCTACTTTGTATGGTATCATTTATAACCTGGCGAGGCAGCTGGACTGAGATAACAAAATCACGTTAAAAATCCATCTTGCCATGTTTAAAGCCATGCGATTGTGGTACCAGACCAACCAGTGTCCTATGAGGAACTACTGGCAGCTACGGCATGAGCTACAGGCGTAGCTTTTCGCTTGGTGTGTGTGACAATGTAATGGCAGCTGCTAAAGAGGTTAGCGTAGATGCCGATCGCATCAGTTCCATCAGAACTGGAGAGTATTTCTTCAATAAAAAAGAGCAAAGAATGGGACTGAAGGCCTTTCTTGATACTTCGGTAAGAGTTTGACTACATTACATCTGACTGGTTGAAGTTACATTGATGGTTTATCCAGTCACCTGTTGTGTATTTTTTTAAAAAGCCTGTACTTTTCCAAACAGTTTCCAACGACTTTCCAGATGATTCTATGTTACAAACAACGTGCCGCAGTCAGATTAGCTCACTTAAGATTCTATCATAACAGAACAATTCTATGAAAAAGTATCTCATGACCATGGGTTACTATAATAAATGTAATATGTGATATTTACATAAATATCCGATATTTTGGGTAGGGTGAGTAGGTGACAGTTGGTAAGCCTCTGTGGGTGACCACACTCACCACAACATCTGCTTAGAAACTGAAAGGGCATGTAATGGGGATCTGCACTTCCTGGAAAAACTGTTACTTTATGGAAACAATGACTCATTAGTGGAAGCTCAGAGTGCAATACTAGGTATTACTTAAAATTGTTTTTGTGGCTTTTTCACAGAAAATATTTCCTTTTCGACAAAGAATACCTGACCCACCAAGAAGGAACTCAATCAGATTTGTATTTTATTTTTCAGTTCGGACTTTAAAAATGGAGCAAATCAGCAGACACGATGGACTAAACCAGCTCTAAACAGGTTAGAGGTCAACAGAATGTAAAACCTTTTTTTTTTTTTCAAACACATTTTTTTGGGGGGGGCTTTTATTGCCTTTATATGATAGTGACAGCTGAAGATAGATGGGACGCCAGCTCCAACAACTGAGCTAACCGGGCACCTATGTAAAACTTCATTTATACAACTGCATCGTTCAGAACTGGAGTTTCCAAAACAAGTGTTTCCCATGAAGAGGCAGCAGAGAGGAATTGTACATTGAAATAAAAACAAAATAAATAATTAATATTTCCTCAAGTATTGAAGAGATTGTAGGTATTGTCATGTGCCAATGGACTTCTACCAGAATTAACCAGCAGCAACCTTTTATCACTTATATAACAGATTGTCCTCTGTGTTAAGGGCACTTCAGGACAACAGATATGTTTTTAATGACAACAAGGAAACTCAAAATATCAAAGGTCAATGTAAACAACTTAGATAAATAAGATAAAACTTAAGCCACATCTGGCCGCCAGCCCAGTAACTCCTTGCATGTAAACACAGACGTTGCAAAATAGTCTCAAGTACAGTAATAAGTGGCAGCGCGCCCCCACCCTTGACTGCAATGACACAAGCCCTTCTCAAACATGGCAGCTACAATATTTCTGGTGTCAAATATCTGTGTGCAGTCGTGGTATTTTGTGTTCAAAGCACACAATGTAAATTTTTTAAATTCAATTTCAATTCAATTCCATTTGTATAGAGTCAATTAATAACAAAAGTTATCTCAGGAAACTTTTCAAATTTTAACCATAAAATTTTAAACAAGGCGTAATGCATAGTATTTGGCACACCTTGGGGGGAAAAAAACACCTACGTCAGAATGCTGTTTGTTGATTTCAGTTCAGCATTGAACATGTACTAGGATGGAACTATAACCTGAATTTCATTATACCACCCTGCATTGTAAATGACAATGAAGGGTCGTCTGATCAGGATGATATCACAAAATCAGTAAGTAAATTAATATAATTCATTTTCAAACTGGTATTTGAACAATTTCAGTTTTTGAAATACAAATTTTAGACTTCAAGGGCGTCCTGCTGGGCATGTGGTTAAGACACATACCGTATGCTCGTATCGTAATATTATAAGTTTGATTCGGACTGTGGACCTTCCTTTAAATATCCTGTTAAACAATAGCCATTTCCACAACTTGTCTGGGTAAATGAACCTGGGAACATCAAGGTGGAGACTGTGTGTGTGTCTGTGCGGGCCTATTTGTGAACATCATGCATGGGCCTGCTCAAAGAATCAGGTTTTCCGAGTTATCAGGAACAGTTCTTTCAGTCACTGTTCCAGGTATGAGGGATTTACTCAATAATAATAATCCAGATAAATCAGGAAACCTGCTTCCTAAAACAACGCCCTGGTGTGTCTGTCTGTTTGTGCGTGTATGGACCACCTAGTTACTGTCACAGTAACGATTACCTGCAGCTCTTTGTTAGACAAGTTTAAACCTACAGAAAATTCTAACTAATTGTTCTGTGACCAAATAAAAATGTAAAGAGGTGATGGCAGTTCTGTTGTTTATTTGCTTCCCTGTCGTTTCTTTATTTCAATTTTAACCTGTTTATTTCCTGATTTTCAAATGCTCAATTGTTTGTAATGGTTTCATCACAGACAGGGAATGTTGCTCCTCCCTAGGTGTGACAGGTTCATTAGTCCCCTAATTAGAGACTGGAAACTTTTGTGTAATACAGTGTTTGCCTGTTCTTACACCACATACAACCTCCCCCATGTACCACCATTATGACTAAACAGTCGAGTAGTTCAGCTACAGACAGTACATGCAGGAGGCAACTTTATAAGATTATTTAATTTTGACTGTTGTTGAATCCTGGACGCAACCAGTTGAAAAAGCAGAGCTAAATTGATGGAAAAGGGGTACTCCTGATCCACACTTCTCTTCCGTTCCGAGACACGATTGCAGTGTTTTTGAACCATTAATTTTACCTCTGCTAACCATCTTGCCAAATCATGGATCTATGCATGTGCTATGTGCATGAATGTGACTTCATAGCAGGGGTGATATTAAAACAAGCTATTACAGGAAATGCAAAACTTATTTTAAATACATTTCAGTGATCTCACAGTTGAAGTATTTTGATAGTATTATATGTTTTTAATTAATCAATTTAATCAGATTCCTCTGTGTACCACCCAAGGTATGTATGTATAATATATATATATATATATATATATATATATATATATATATATGCTACCACAAACTGTTTAAAAAAAAAACGTCACTACACTACTGGCATGCCAGTTTGAATCAGGCAGAACCTTTTACAGACTGCTGAAGGCTAAAGATAAGCTTAAGGAAAGCATTCAGACAAAAGACAGTTGTCTGAATAAATTAATTGAAAGAACTAAATGTGTTTAACTTCTGATGAATTGAACAGTGCAGATATAGACCCACATATTTGCATCTCCGGTGCTCTTCTCGCAGTGAATGGGGTTTTTTTTAAAATGGGTTTTTGTTTAGATGTCTGAAATAAGTTTTGTGATTAACACAAGCTTAAAAAAAGATTTTCAAGTTTTTTTTCTACAACATAAAATACGTCAGTAAATACCCCATGTGTGAATTTTGAAGTGTGTCTTGCTAGCAAGTGGTTAAATGAGGCTACAGAGGTTGTCGGTGACATTAAACCTCAGCACGCCGACTACAGAGGTTGTCGGTGACATTAAACCTCAGCACGCCGACTACAGAGACTATCTACCCACTAGTCCCCCTTTACAGCGTTGCTGTGTTTATACTCGCACTCTTGCAAACTATTCTATCAAACTTTATAACTTCTAGATTTTAATTAAGTTAGAGGTTTAGTGGTGGTGACGCTGAAGTCATGCGTGGTGTAGTTTGTTTATAGCCTGACGTTTACTTCTGGAGATCGCTTATATACTACTGCTGCAATAAAAACAGAAATAATTAGCAACAGCAGAAACTGCACACCAATTTACTCTGTCCTCAAAGTATTATCATAGGGAGAGTATGCCAATATTACAATATTGTTGTTTTGGCTTAAAGCGCTTAAAGAGTACAGTGAATGTGTGAAAGGTGCTAGGGAGTAAAAATACCTTGTGCTTTTTGGACTTCCTGCTGTCCTCGTCATCTGAGTGATGATGGTGCCTCTTCTCCTTGTGTTTCTTCTCAGAGTGCCGATGGCTTGTCGCCTCGTCTTCCTCCTCAATTAGCAGGTCATACTTGGAACTTTTGGGAAAGTTATGGAAATCCAGCCAGTAAATTGAGAAAATCAATGCTGAAAGTTTTACCAAATCAAACTGAAAAAAAAAATAAATAAATAAAATAGTGGCCACCACAACAAAGGCCGTACAGTTAAATACTGCAGACGGGTATGTAATGATATGAAGTGGGAAATTCAACCCCAGCCTATCGACACACAAGGATACTCTTGTTTGGGCTTCACTTGATCCTTGAGAGCCAGCTTGGATCGGTTCTCCACATCCTTCTCATAGGCTTTGAAGTCATCTTTAGTATACTTCCCACCTAGGAAACAGAGAAGGCCATGAGTAAGGTGCCTGCTTATATAAACACACTACAAGAGTTCACTCAAGGTGAGGAGAGTAACACTGTATATAGAAACTAGGTTTACATTGGCGTAACCCTTAAAAACATAAGAGAAATATTCAAAAAACATGCAAATCACAAAGGAGTACCTTTCCCTTTCCATTTGATCTTAGAGACTGACTGGCTGAAGTCTACATGAATGCGTCGATCATCAATGAGCACGTTATCCATTTTGAAGTAGGCCTTTTCACAATCTTCTTGCTGTGGACACAGAAATAGAAGTAAATGTCTTGTTCTGTGAGGGGAGTGGATTTCTGAAGCGTCCATATTTTCTACTGATCCAAAACTGGTTGCCAAGTGGTGTAAAAAACATTGAGGGTGCAGACTCTTGTTTGCATAACACATTTTTTCTAGGGTCAGTAGTCTACAAAATGAGTGTTTCTGCAGGCTTTTTAGAAGACTTTTTAAAACCATTATTAATGCAATTTAAAAGGACCAACATGTAGGATTTAGTGGCATCTAGCAGTGTAGCTGTTGATTTGAATGCCCTCGCCTAACTCTACCTTTCCAAGCGTGTTGGAGAAACTAACATTAAACATGGCAGAGGAGGACCCGCTCCTTCTGTTGATATAAACAGCTCATTCTAAGGTAACAAAAAACACAACTGTTCTTATTTTCAGCTGACTATACACTAATGAAGACATAGCTAAATGTTACACGCTGGGCCTTTAAGACCTTTACGACCATACTGGCAAAAAAAAGAAAATGGTATTAGTTTCATGTCGGTTTCATTTTTTGTTACAGTGTGATCCCAGTATGATCACAACCCCAAAACGCATTTAAAAGTGAGACTGAAAAATGCAACTTGTTATGTCATTAAAACTCATCAAAATAAAACGTTTTTAAGACCCCGCGGACATCCTGTGATGAGAAGAACTGCCTCTTTGTCCAGTCTGACACCGTCTGTCAGGTATGCAAAAACCAAAGTTAAAGATGTACATATTACTGGCAGAAAATATATATGTAAAAAAGCATCCATCTGCAGCAGAGGTATTTGAATGAAACTCACTGTGGTCTGTCTGTTCAGATTTTAATTTTCATAATAACAGCTTTTGGTTTAATTTCCAAAAGTAATTTATTATATTTCATAATACTATTATATCACTGGATGTCACTGGTAAAAGTCTGAGTGAAAACACATTACACTACAATACAACAAACTTTCCAGCGCCCTCTAATGGTCTCCAACACATACAGCACCATTATTCACGATACTACTGCTGTGCTCCTTTCATTTACAGTTCATTGTTGAGGGTGTTCAGAGGACTGAAGGCCAGTGGCAAAACCTATATCCCCATCCTAAATTACAAGGTCTACAGAGGATGCACCGTAAGTCATAAATTAATTGGTTTACAACGGGGAAGTTGCCTGTGAACAAAGAAGTGCTGAATACCAGTCATAAACTGTCCAATTCCACAATATCCAAAGTTACAAGTTCTAATATTACACTCCCACAACGGACAGCTAGCCAACAATGTACCAGGTTAATAAATATAGGATATTTATATAACTTTCACGTCTCTATAATAATACTTCTCTATCAGAATGACCCCAGCAGCACATGTGATGATTGTCAATGTGTCATAACCAGAACAAACAGTCGAGCTAACTGACTTCCATTATTCACATCCAGCAGGGGTTTTCCATCTGTGACTTTCACCAGATATACAGTATACTGTATTTACTTAAAACTGAATGCGAAATCCTGATAAATGTTATATTTCCAATTGTGTGTATATATTGACAAAAAAAACAAAAAACAACACCTAATTAAAAATACACTTTTAAATGATTCCTCAGAAATACATACATATTTCTAACAATAAATCATTACAGGTAGGCTGGATTCCAGTGTATTAATGTCTTGACAAGTTACCCCATTGCACATATTTAAGCAGTAGTTCAATTCATTTTATGAAACATACTCATTCCTTTTCTTTTAGATTGATAGATACTTAATTTATCCCGAGGGAAATTCAAGAGTTTAGAGTGACATAAGGAGATCAATGTCAATCTTGTTGTGTATGTATGGAGTTGCATTTCGATGTGTTTAGCCTATCTTAGCATAAAGACTAGAATAAGTGGGAAACACGTCTCACCTCACCTCAACCAACATTAACACTTATGTCATTTGTAGGAATATAAAGTCGGCAATTGTACTTTTAGTATGTGCTGAAAGAGTTTCTTGACGACCAAAAGTTTATCCATCCAACCAGCACTTTAATGCTGTGTCTCCGGCTATAGAGCAGGTAGCATGATGTGGTTGCCTCTGTATAAAGCCTATTTTCCGTGGGAAAGGAGACAATTGGCATGTATTTCTGGCTCAAATGACTCTGCAGTAGTCAGGTATTAATCAGTTCCAGCTCCGACTGCCAGTGATGGAAACTTGACACCCGGGAGCACTAGGGGTAATTTTCATACCTATTCCAGTCCAATGTGGATGCGCGTCTACGTACCACATTCTACATTATTTACTGTTTTTATAGACTATGGGAACGACGTGCAACAGTGATTTTGTTCTTAGTGTTGTTCAAAATGCCACAGTAGCAAAACAGTGTGGGGAGAGAGCTTCTACTGATTTGAAAAAGAAAAATTAACGAGACAGGTCACTGGCGCTTTCCTCCAGTACCGGCACAGCACTGAGGGCATTGGTCTGGCAATGCAAGACTACTGGCACTGTGAGAGACAGACTGTGAGATATACAACAACATATCGAAAATGCTGAGTGAAAGAGGCAATGCTCGCAGCCCAAGTCAAGTAACAAATGCTGCTGTGTACTGTTTACTTACTCTGTTTCCTGACGTTGAATGTGACACATCACAAAAAGAAAAAACACCACAAAGGCAAACTCGTCTACTGGCACTTTTTAGCAAGTTTACCAGGGTTAAAAAAAGAAACTGCGAGTACATGCTAGGCATGATGGTAACAAACCTGATAACCTCACTGTGACAACAAAACTCCAAAACTGTGTCTAGCTGTTATTTGCCAAGTAATAATTCCAACGTCTAACACATAAACCTCTTCATTAAGTTTGCTGACGACATAACTGCGGTGGGTCCCATCAACAACGGTGATGAGACTATCTACAGGAGTTAGGTGAGCAGGCTGGCCACGTGGTGCAAGGACAACAATCTCCACTTGAATGTGGAGAAGACGAAGGAGATTGTTGTGCATGAGTGCACACCCAGCATACTCCACTAACCATCGACGGTGCTGCAGTGGAGAGTAGGGCTGTAACGGTTCTGAAACTGAGACCGAAATCGCGACACAAAAGTCCACGGTCTCGTGTCGCGGATCCGAGAGACAGAACCGTGACACACTCGCTCCCTGGACTGTTGAGCTCTCGTTAAGACAGTGTAACTGCAGCGGTGGCAGTGGCCCGTGGGGTGGTAGCGGTGTACGCCTATATCGTATTTGTATTGACAGTAGGTTATTCTTGGTCATTTTCCACCTTATTTTAGTGTTTATTTACTACTTTAATCTGCTCCCTTTCTCTTCTCCCCACACTCACACACAGCACACACACCTAGCCTGGACCTCTGGTCACTCACGGCAAACACGCCCGTTTGCTCCGCCTCTTTCTGTCTCTCTCTCCCTGTGTGTGTCTCTGCTGACTTTCTCCATCAGCAGTACGTTTCATAAAGTCATCCGTGATTCAGTTTTCAAGTGCGCCGCATGTGGGTCCAAACCGAAACTAACGTTGTGAGTGACATCTGCAGTGGTGTGTTCACTGACGCTCCGTAATGCAAGATTTCTGCCGTATCTGCTTAATGTAATATCAGATAACATCTCTCTTTCACTGTTTCTCTGCAAAATGGGGAAACGGGGAAAACCGTGGTATGAACCGAACCGTGGCTCACAAATCGAGGTCTGAACCGAAACCGTGGATATCGTGAATCGTTACACCCCTAGTGTAGAGGGTGAGCAGCACCAAGTTCCTGGGTGTGCACATCTCTGAAGACCTGTCCTGGAGCTACAACACTGCATCACTGGCCAAAAAAAACAACAGCGCCTGTACTTCCTCCACAAACTGAGAAGAGCAGGAGCCCCGCCCCCATCATGCACACCTTCTACAGAGGCACCATCGAGAGCATCCTGACAAGCTGCATCACCGTGTGGTATGGCGCCTGCACCGTGTCCTGCTGCAAGACTCTGCAGCGCATCGTGAGAGCAGCTGAAAGGATCATTGGTGTCTCTCTCCCCCCCGTTCTGGACATTTACAACACCCGCCTCACCACCAAAGCCATCAGGATTGCAGGTGACCCCACCCATCCATCTCACAGCCTCTTCAGCCTGCTGCCGTCGGGGAGGAGACTACGGAGTCTCCGCGCCAAAACCAGCAGGCTCAAGGACAGTTTCTTCCACCAGGCTGTCAGGAGACTCAACTCCCTCCCTGCTCTGTCTTTTCTATTTATTTAGTATATTGCCTGTGTGCACCGTGGGTCCGAGAGGACTGAAATTTCATCTGTGCTGTATGTCGTGCATGTATAGCATATTTGACAAATAAAGCTGACTTGACTATAAAATGACAAATCTTTGCTTTTAGAAACAACCCGCAAGTTGGAGAGCATTTTTTTCACTTTGGACAGAGTTACCTGTGCCCCCTGCCCATAGCCCTTATGCTAAGTTAGGCAAAACACATTCTGCCTCCAGGTCTGTACTGAACATACAGTAATGAGATTAACATTGATCTTTTTATTTCACTCTCAGAAAAGGAGTGAATAAGGACCACATACTTTGCATACACAAGCGTAGTACCTGAGCACATACAGCATACAGTTTGCGTTTGTATTATATTGTAGGTCATATAGCCACATAAGATGCTCACCTTTTCAAACTCAATAAAGGCGTAACAGAGGGAATCTCCAGTCTTCCAGTCTCTGATGATCTCACAGCTGCACACAAAGTAATAGGAGAACTTTTTAGTAATACAGAGCTAAAGCAAAATGTTAGCACATATAAAATGTCCAGACGCAGAAATAAAAATCTACAAACTGGAATTGTGTAGAACTTGCAAGTTAGCGTCACCTCTTAATGGTACCAAAGCGAGAAAAGATGATTTCCAGGTCATCGTCTGTGGTCACTGGGTTCAGTTTGCACACAAACAGTACGTTCTCTGGTGGCCTTACATCTGCGTCAGGGAGGTCACCCACCTGAAGAACATATGACAGATGAGTATAGAAATGTCTCAGGCTGCATCTTTAGGATCTTCAGCTGAAGACTGTGAGCAGATTTCTTCTTCTCACCATTTCCAGCAGGATGGCCTGAGTTTTGGCTTCTTTCTCCTTCAGCCTCTCCTCCAACTCCTCGGCTCCTTTCCCATCCGTATCATCGATCACCTCATCTGCTCCGATTCGGCCACTCTGTACACCCGTAGCAGAAACAGTGTTATTTATAATATATACTGTTCTTCTGGTCTACACGGCTTGATCGTCTATTTTACTCTGAATTGGACCATAATTTACTAAATTAACATCATAATGTATAGAAGAACATGTAAAACTAGAGATTAAGACCATAAACTCATTAGGAAACTGTTTACTGAGCTTAACAATTAAATCAAGTGACAAGTCGGTTCATATTCCATTAGGGTGAGGTATCGGTGTGTTATTGCAGCCAATGGAGCTCCCCCTGCTGGCCTTTACATAGAATGCAGGTTTAAGACATTGCAGTGTTGGCTTCACTTTTAAGACCTGGAAGCTCTGTCCATTATATGTACTGGCAATGGTTCTTACAGACACTGTATACATTATGTCCTGTTTATTTGTCTAGATAAGGTTTGTTGAACACGGATCACTGATTAAGGACGAAGAGTGGCACTGTACTCACATCCAGCTGCTCTTTGGTGGGCTCAGGTGATCGATCAGGTACTGGCAAGTCAGGAGGGTCATCAAAGGGGTCATCCAGGATAACTGTGTGATTTATCCTGCAGCAAAATTACACTCTCATCTCATGACTATAAAACTTTGAGGTGTTTCTGAGAAATAACAAATGCCTTCTTTGACACAGGGTAGTACTACATACACAACATAGGCAATTTGTCTTAGTTCACCTGATATCCTGAAATGGGACAAAGTCCTTGTCCACAAAGGTCTCATTGATTTTGGCCAAGATGTCCATGCCTTCTGTCACTTCCCCAAATACAGTATGGACGCCATCCAGGTAGTCCAGGTTCTCACCCGTGGTAATGAGGAACTGAGGACATTATTGAGCACATGATGTAACATATCCTGCTGGGAATGCCTATCTTCAGCTGGCACTATCATAAAGGCAATACAAGCCCCAAAAAGTACTTAAAAAATAAAAAAAATAGCAAAACTGGTGAGAGCAAACAGGGAGTCCATGATTCAGTATTAAAAGAAAGAAATTTGGTTGATGAAAATATTACATTTTATATTATTCTCTGTAGTGGGCAAACAACAGTGTGGATGTACATCTTATTCACCTGAGAACCATGCTGATCGTTTCCATTGTTTACCATGGACACCGTCCCTTTCTTCCTGTGTTTGATGCGCGGCGTTTTCTCTGCATCAAAAAAGCGGGCCTGGTCCCCATAGAGTTTGCTAATCACACACACAAAAGAAAATTGGTCACAGAGTTCAAGTTGTGGTTTTAAATAAATAAATAAATACATAAAATAAGTCCACAGTGGTGATGAAGATGACTGACCTATAGACAGATTCTCCACCACGGCCCGTCCCAGTGGGATCCCCAGTCTGCACAACGAAATCTCTCTGAGGAGGAGACAAACCCATTTATACAGCATGTCTAACACAGTGTGTTGCAGACATGAATCCTTATTTGGCTCGACATTAGGTGTAATACTGCAGATGATCACTGTGGTTCTGTTTGCACTTAAGGTAATGGTCGTGAGAGTCCCATTTCCATTATAAAACTGTGTGCAATTGTGTTTTTAGATGATTGATATATGAAACCTGAGCACTGCCACATTAACTATATCTAATATCTATACCCATGTGTACTGTACTTTGTCCCCTTTGAGAATTCATCAACTACAGTGACAAAGTTTGGTGAACAAAAGCTACAATGAAAGAACAGTTGTGTTGCAGGCATTGTTGAACTTGGGATCATTCAGTGTAGTTTTTTTTTTTTTTTACCTGAATGGGCAAATACACAAACAGATTGTGTTGCAACGTGTTACAAATGTATTTCCATGTAAAGCTGTGGCTTTCAGAGCTCTACATAGTTCGAAGGCCCAGTGTATCTGCACACCATGGACTTAAACTCTAAAACCTGATCGATGACTATATTGCCACCCTCAGGCCAGTCAAAACGAGCCTGCACCAACTAAAGATACTGTTACATATGGTTTCATAGCTTTGTTACATGAGTTTTGTAAGTTGCAGTTTTACCTGGACATTGTGGATGAGACAGTAGTTGTAGTGCTTTATCTTGCATAATTTCAGAAAGTTCAGGCAAGCTGCAAAAGAAAATAGCAGAGATTAAAGTTAAACTGACAGTCATTACAATTTACCAAATCCTTAAAAACACTCAGCGCCTATTTAGCGTTAACAACTGCAGTGTGTATTGGTTTATTCCAGTTTCGTTGTTATTGATGTCTAATATTAAACAAACAAATGAATATGACGCAAGCAAGCTAACAGCCTTAGCTAGCACCCACTTATTCTGTAACTCAGCTCGTCAATAGCTTACTCAACTAGCATCCAGGTCAAGAAATTAGCTTCCGTTAAGTGGAAATGGCTTTATTTTCTTACTTTTAGGCCTTTCTTCTGTAAACAAATCGATTACTATATCGCCCAGCGTCGTTTCAAGGAGCACCGCCATGCTGTTTCTGATCTCGCGAGAAGAGAGTGTTTGGAAATTCCCCGCGCGTGCGCAGTACAACTGAATTGCTCAATGTTTTTGATTTAACGTTAGCAACCTTGCTGCTGGTGAAATAAACCAACACAAAATGGAAAGGACAGCGCTAGCAGTTAGTGTTATGGTTCTTCTTTTCGCCTCAGTAACGTGCACAGAGTCACCGCCTAGGCAACTGAACACGGTAAGACACAAACTGGCAAATGTCAGCAACATACTGAGCTAACGTTAATCTATGATGTTGATGTTAGCATAGCATTAGCTTGCTGATCATCCAGCGTAAAATACCCTCACTGGCAGACATTTTGGTCGCGTCTATTTGGGTTTTCTTTTCCTTGTATTTCTAATCATCGACCTCCACAGGAAAACATCCTGATCAACGTGACAGCAGGGACACTGGCGGATACACAGTTGCAGGATACCAACAACTTGCAGGTATAACGTTACGATAGAAGACAACTTACTTATCGAGGTGTAGACGTGGGTCTGTTTTTTTTAAAAATGCGACCAAGTTAATGTTGTTATCTCTCCTTTCAGATCAATTTAAACATATCGGTGGGCGAAGAGCAGGTGCTGGTCAATGACATCCCAGTAGAGCTGTCAGGGGTCACCAGGTTCAACTGCCAAGCCCTTCTCTGTGAGTTTTCCTTCATCACATGTTGTGATTAATCCATGGATTCAACCATAACAACAATTATTCTTGTTACTAGATTTAAAAATGCGATGAGGTTGCTTTCCTTTCTCCATATCATGTCATTCTATTGTTAGTGATTATGTAAAATTGTTTAATTAAAAACACTCAATAGATAAATCAATAATCACAATAATCGTTTCTGTGGCTGTTATAAGCTGTGTTCACACTGCAGGCAAAAGTGACTCAAATGTGGGATGTTTTTTTGCTCATGTGACTTAGATCTGTTTTTTTCATGCAGTGTGAACAGTACAAATCATTTTTTGCAATGTGACCTCAGTATTAAATATGTCATATTTGAATTCATGTGACTTTTATTTTTAATCACTCTAGACCAGGGGTCTCAAACTGAAATTGGCTTGGGGCCACTGCTGGTATTGTCATCTCATAGAAGGGCCACTTCAATGTTCAAGTTCTAGAAGAAAGCTCAATATTCTGAAAATATTGACATTATTTACATTATACAAAAACAAACAGCAGTTTCTATACATTTTTATATCATATTTGTTGCTCCTGACCAAACAACAAATGAAGGCCTGAAACCTGCTCTCTTCTTATCAACCCATTGCAATCTTTATTTTGTATTAAACAAAATACATATTGAAATAGAATTGTGTTTTTATTTAAATGTAAATGAAGGTGTACCTTAAATTTATATGAATTTTATATGGGTTGGATTATATTATATTTTTGACATAATGTTGTGGAAATGGCCCCCGGGCCAAAATTTTTTGAGGGCCCTGCTGTAGATCAACTTTCATCATGCTGGACACTTCAGGACTGAGTTGTTCACACTGGAATCTGATAGGGGCCATATTTACAAAAACAATGTGGACAACGTAACAAAAATGATCTATCTGAGCAGGAAATCACAATCAAGTACTAACGCTTGCAGTGTTAATGTAGCCTTAGCTCTCCAGTATATTATATGTTATATGTTGAGCAGATTTTGTTTTTCTTTCTCCTTATTTTTTCAGCACAGTGTGCCTTTATCGAACAAGATGTTTTAATTATTTCTGTAGCATGTCAGCCCCTGCTATACTGTAATACTGTAATGTCAGAAATGTTTAAAGTACCCATCACAAGCAACCTTCTAAAGGGATGTCTTCAAACAGCAAATGCTTGCCAACTTGATATATAATTCATAATCAAAACGTGATTGTTTTCTGCTGTTTAATTGATGGATTCATTAGCTAATGGTGTAGGAACTGAGGTCATAAACTGCTTATCAATACACTGAATTGTACTTTTCCAGTAGACAGCGTCAATGGAAGCAGTGACTTTGAATCTGGGGACTTGGTGTCCACTGTCACCCGGGTGATGGTGAGCCAGAACCGGCTATACAGTGACTCGGAGGAGGTGGTGGCTCTGCAGGTGTTCAGTGAAGTGATAGAGATGGAGGGCAAAGAGGTAAATATCTCTTACCATCTCATCCTCAACTTTCAGCAGACTGTTCCATTTTATGTTGTAGGCCTTTTTACCACAAAACTGATCAAATGCAGTAATACCCTGTGTAAGACATACTGGGTTTGTGACATTTAGGTCCAGCAGCCTGACATGTGTGAGGTGAAAATACTGTTGAGCCCAGATTTCCAGAAACTGGCCCAGTTTACCAACATCTACCCCATCGGACACAGTGAGATCTTCAGGGTTCCCAGAGAGAACGATGTTGTCGTCACAGATCCACCAAATCCTAGAAAAGGTATGGAAACATGGCGCTTATTCTGATCCTAATTATTATCATTATGGAGATAGCAGTCCAATTTAGTGTGTATTCTTGTTTCTTCTGCACTTTTTTAAATAAGATGAGGAACAGCTGATCTCCCAGACCACCAGCCAGTACCCCCTAAAGCACACAGACACCACCCAGGAGGAGATTGCAGCCCCGGGAAAGCTCCCGGAGACTCCCCTGCGTATGGACCCCGACCTGCTGTATGATGTCAGATATGAAGATGAATTTGATGACAGAGAGCCGAGCCAGCCGGATCAGATTCAGATGGAAACTCCGCCCAAAGAATTCATATCATCTTACTCTGTAAGCCAAATGTGATGCTCTATCTAGCTGATGACACTCAGTATGTACTGTCATTGAGGTGTCTGACCATTTCAGCAGGAAAGCTGTCACTGGATGGTGTGGTTTGTTATACAAGAGGAAGAGGATGGCAGTTTCTGGATTCCCATGAAATCAGGCTGTTTGCGGTCTGTGGGAAAAGTTTATTCAAAGTTTATTTAAAATACGTCAGTAAATACCCTACCTGTGAATTTTGAAGTGGCTTAATGAGACTAGACAAGTTGTCTGGGACATTAAACATCACCACGCCGAACAGTTCCTCATCCTCATCCTCATGCGATCGTGGTGTAGTTTGTTTATAGCCTACCGCTTATTACTTCTGATGATTTCATTTCTTTTATACCTGCAACGATAAGTCGATTAAGTGATTGGTTTTCAACTATTGAATTAATTGCCAACTTTTTCGACAAATTTTGATTCATTTTTTGAAGAAAAATCTCCAAATGTTCTGAGTTCAGCTTCTCAAATGTGAATATTTTCTGCCTTCTTTAGTCCTCTATGATAGTAAACTGAATATCTTTGGTTGTTGGACAAAACAAGACACTTGAAGACGTCAGCTTGGGCTTTGGGAAACAGTGAAAATGTTTCACCATTGCACACACAGCAATTAATCAATAATACAAATAAGTGTTAGTTGCAGACCTAGTTTCTTCTCTTGCCTTCACTTGTGCACATCTTAGGACGTGGCCCAGAAACCCTTCTGCATTATGTAGTGCTAGTAGAGCCTTGTACCGGCAGGACATGCTCATATCTCTGTGTCCGTCCCCTCCTCAGGCCATGTGTCAGTGGGTGGAGGAAGTGAGGGAGCGTCTTAGGCGCTTCAGCTCAGAGTCACTGCCTCTTTTCTTCCTGGTCATGTGGGTGGTGGTGATCGGCGTTGTCGGATCTGCGGTCATCGTCAAGATCTTGGACATCTTCTTCCCGACCTGTGAACACAAGTGAGTTTGTTTAATGGGGGTTTGTGAGTGAACAAATAGTCTGCTGGAATATGTAGGATGTGTTCTTAACCATGTCATCGTTGACCAGCTGGTCTGCCTTACCTGATTATCTTCAAAATGCTAAGCTTTCTTATCTTAATTTTTTTTTACAGGCACATTTTTCACCTAAACCCTGTCACTCTAATGCCAGAGGAGGAGAAGCACACTTTGCTGGAGAACATAGAAATAGAAGCAGAAGAAGAAGACAAGAAGCCTTGAATGAAGATTGACATGGCCAGCTCCTTTATTTTCAGTTTGTTCTCATTTGTTCTTCAACCTTGGTTACTGTGTCCAGTTTTGTTGCTAGCTTCTATTCAGACTTGTGAACCACTAGGTTTTGTTTTCACTTCAGCACATTAGTACAGGAACGGTAGGTGGTTTAAAACCATCAAATTGACTAAACTCAATTTGATGGTTTAATGCTATATCAAGTGATTCCCTCAAATGTAGTCACATGATCAGAATGGAAAAGAAAGCGAGTGATTCATAGTGTTGAATCTCTGTGAGGGACTGAGCTCTTCCATCATTTGCACAGAAAATCAAACTCTTTGCTCCTGTGACTGGTCAGATAGAGTTTTATTAAGTCACAAATGTACTCCGAACAGCTACTACATGGACCTTTAGGCGAGATTGTTTTGTCAAAGTTTGGTTTTCCTTTTTTTGGCTGTATGCTGGCACCAAAACCTGGCAACATACATTATAATAGACGGAGGCTTAGGAAAGCAGTACTGTAGGATTAACAAATGAACAAACTGAGAATTTTAGGGGTTGCAGCCAATAATTTGGAAAATATAAAAACTGAAAATACTTTCTATATGTAGCACTTCTGTACAGGTCACAATTCTTTTCTTCACATTAACTTTTTTTCTCCAAAATTGGACCCCACTGCTGAAAAAAAAAAAAAATGACAGCAAATGCACTACAGTGAGTTTATATTATATATTTATTCAACATACGGCAGGCAGTGTCCTCTGTCTGTCGTACTTTAAGCGAAGACAAGATGAATAATTAAAGCCATTATGTTTGAATCTGTTGTTATATATGGCCCACAAGAAGCAAAGTAATATTTAATCTGAAAAGAAAAAAGATGCAGATCACTGTCTTGAAAATGTAATTTCAGATCATGTGTCTGCACATTCAGAGACAGTTGTTTCCCTCCCACAACTCTTCTTAACTCTGAATGTCACTAATGAAGTCATTCCTCCCTCCGCTGCCCACTATTGAGGCTCATATATAGATTGTCTTTCTTCACAGTGCCTCGGTGACTCCTATCAGTAAAGGTTTAATTAATTTTCTTTGTGCTTTGTGTTTCCTGTTACTAAAAATGGGAGAATGTAAGTGAGGTTGTTCAGATTGTCTATGCACTTGAAACGTATAAGACAAACTACGGTTATGGCCGATGAAAAATACAGTGTGTGTACAAGACATGACCATAAATTCAGTGTGTAAATTACTGTTAAAGGAAAGAATCTGCACTTAGTTTTGCTTTTTGGAGTAAAAACTGGACATGGACCTGGATGGATGTACCTTTTTTTCCCCCATTTTCTTTTTGTGGTGAATCTCAAAAAGACTTATAGGCAAGAATGACTGAAATGATAAAGTATCCACTCCCAATGTTTCACTAGGCTGTGAGGGACCAAACAGGTGGGCACAAGGTGGGTTTTTGGTCAAAAAGTGGGGTTAATTAATCCAAAACTCAGTGTAAGTGTTTCAACATGGTCTCTGTGTTATTTTAAAATGCTTTTTAAAAAACACCCTTAAAACATCAGCTTGTGTACCTCAGCACAGCTGAGGTCGAGATTTCGTCTCCCCAGGGTTCAGTTACTCTGCAGAATGCATGATGTGCTGCGATAGCAAAAGGTGCATGTGTAGTCTAGCTAGTGAATGCTGTTTGCTGTTTTGGCAGCAAGTTATACATTTAAACTAGGAAGCTGCATGATGACTCAAAACAGCTCAACCTGTACTTGGATCAGCCTCAAATTCCAAATTGATAACACAACAAAATGCTGTAGATGACAATAAATTAGCCTGTAAGACAAACAATATGTGAATTCAGATGTGTGTCTGAGTAACACAACAAAAATATATTTTAATTTGCTCTTTGTTTAAATGGCAGTAGACCCACATGTTACTATTTTGAGACATTTGTATGCATAAAATGTATGAATTACAGCTGGACTGTGTAATTGGGTCACAAATCTGGCTGATTAAATGCTTTCCTTATGACCATCAAGCCTTTGTCTTGTCTGATTATTGAGCTTGCGCAGAGAGAGAACACTGTGAACACTTGATGCATTGTCTGGTGACTGTGCAGAAAGCCTCAGTAAGAGCATCACTCAGGCATAAAGTAGTTCACATGCAGAATTTCTACTGGGACATCAAATACAAGGGCCCATTTTGAATTCCTTTTTGTCTGATGTTTCGCCCAGTGGTTAGAGAAAATGTATTGTAAATATAGTTAAATTTAGGAGCTATATTTGTATGGAAATCTTTTTTTGTCAAGGACATTTTTGTGAGTATAGTAGATAAGGACACAAAGTCTTGTATCTGATTTTAACTACAGAGTCTCCTTCACTCAGTACTGGATCTGCAAAGTTGCATGCTCTTAGTTTTGGCAATTTGTATCATTTACAGTAGGGGAATATATTTTCTCTTATTTTTTTTTATTAAATTATAGATTTTTTCGATGTATTTCTGAAGGTGGGTATACATTGCAAAACAATACATATTACCTTTTCTTTGTAAAAATAAATTTTTAATTTCACCAATTTGAATATTTGTCTTGCAATATATCTTTATACTATGACATTTTTTCTAAAACTAGATTTAAATAAATTGCAATATCAGAATATATTGAATTATAACCTATGTGTTGGGATATGTATCAGATTATTGCCAATACACAGCCCTAATTTACACACAAACTGGGAAAGCTGCGATTATAAATTCAGCGTTTTAAACTCCATGGTCATCAGGAAACCACTGACAGTTTTTTAATGACGTCTGTGTCCTGCACATGTAATCAGCGTTAACAGTCCTATAAGTAATGGTACAAATGTGTACATACTGTATACTGCACATCAGCAGTAACTTAACTCTGTCATATCCATGTACAATTGTGTGGTTCACTTCAATTCAGTCCAGCAACACAGCCACAAGACTCAAATTACCAGTTAGATTTGAAAGTGAATGTTTCAGAATGCGTGAGTGTAGTAGTTTTTTTCCCCTAGCAGAAATATTGCTTAGTAAACAAACTTACACATAAGACAATGTTAATATACATAATCATTGTTAACTTTATTTATCGACATATCTTGTTAGTGTTACATTCATAACATCTCCAAAACTGTGGATGAACCACATGGTTCAAAATAAAAAATAAAATCCAAAAGTGCACAAAAAAAAAGAGAAGACAAACATTTGATTGACATTACGACACTTGGGAAACATGAAACATTGTGGAAACATTGTGTCCTCAGATTGTCTGTTACAGCTACAGTTGATCTTGTCTAACATGTCTGATGAATTTAGCATCATTAAAACATTTTTAGACTGTTGCATAACATTAACATAATGTACAATAGGAAGAGGTGCCATTTTTCAATTGCACATATTTACCTAAAGCAATAAACCTACATCATATCCTCAATATCGTCTTAATGATCTAGAAAAATACACAACCACAACCCAAACTCACTGTTTTTCTACAGCTCAGCCTTATAATAGTTACACATTCAGACACAGATTACTTGGATGCTGCTGTCTTTTTAGCAGGACCCAAACTCTTCAATCCACTTTTCATACTTCTCCAGGTCAACTGCAGACACAGATTTGGACACTTTCTTCAGAGCCGACTCAAAGTCCTCCATGGTGGTGGGCATGTGCATCTCATCCCGGGAAATGTTGCGGATTTCCTCTGGCGTGAGGCCCTCGATTCTTCGCCTCATGGCCATCAGAGAGGCGTCCCTGCAGAGTCACCCAACAAGGGATTTCAATAGAGGCACTTGGACTACCAATGAACTAATCCACATGCATTAACTCACTTCAGTGAATTTACTGTCTGCAAAAATCAAACATTTCTTACGTCTTTTTAAATAAGGGGTCACATTTAGGATTTGTTGCCAGACCATTTGGACTTTGAATCATGAAGCATGAAAGCTTTACAAAACTTTTATTAGGAACTGTAAATATAGCAAATTTGTACATGTATTCAACCAACTTGCAGCAAATTACCTGCTACTTTTTCAAAAAGTTACAGCAGTGGTGCACTGCAGCAAAATGAAGATTCAGTACTATGCTGCATTTTTCATATGCCTTTATTTGACAATGAATGAGATACAGATCAGACAGAAAGGGCTATGATGCAACAAAGGTTGTGTAAATTATATGGATGTGTCACCAGGTCACTGGACACTCAAACGTTATTGTATTTCATCTACTGTAGCAATGACACAGATCATATCATATTTTGGGCATATAAGGTTCAAGGTTAATTTACTTATCATTATCAATGAAAACACAAATTTGAGTGCAAGCATGAATTGGGGAGTCTCACAGCCTGAGGAAAGAAGCTGCTCTGTAGTCTGCTGGTACAGCAGTGGATACTACTGTATCACTTGCAAGACAGCAGCAGGATGATCAGGCTGTGGCTGGGGTGGGGTAATTGTTGTTTCATCTCTGTTTCAAATACAAACTACTGGAAAGATCAACGTTGGTTTGAAAGACGTAACAGCAGAGATAGCTGACCTGCACACGTTGGTAATGTCGGCTCCTGAGTAACCCTCCAACTGCTCCGCAATCTTGTCCAAGTCCACGTCACTGGCCAGCTCCAGCTCTGTCAGGTTGATCCTTAGCAGCTCCACTCGCCCTTTGTCTGCAAACACAAATGCAACAATGAGTGGTGCAGGGAAGAAGCTAATTTTCTTGCCCACAGCCTATGGCTACCACATTTACTAACCAGGTAACACCAATAAAGTTTGGCTGGACTACCAGCTGGGAAGACAGCTGCTCTGGGGTCCCTGAAGGTTCATTGCCAGTCATTTGTTTTTGGTAAGAACACAGGGTATAGGATGAATGCTGTGCTCACACGTTGCACGTTCCTAAATTATTCTGTATTTAGTTAAATGATCATATAACAAACATAGAACCAGGTGGTATTCCAGCATACAAATACTGGTTGTTTCCTGGTGCCCACAACAAAATACCACTGTACTTGAGGAATGTGGGGGTCAGTAGGGGCCCAACAGCTCATTTTTGGCCCAGGGCCTCCATGACAGGTTAATCCGAAATGACCCATATTATGCAGTTAATGAGGTTGCAATGAATATGAAATATTTCTGTCTGAAGCTCTGTATAGTGGCCCATCACATTTTTCTAGTTGTTGAACAGTAAAAGCTCACAGGTCAGTCGATCACTTTCAATAAATCAAATGTTTCATGAGACTTATGTAGTCTACGCTGTCAAGCGGCAAAGAAATGACTGTACTTGAAGGCAGAGGGATGTAGATCCTCTTCTCCAGCCGTCTTCTCAGGGCCTCATCGATGTCCCATGGGAAGTTGGTGGCAGCCAGCACCATCACCATCTTGGACGGGTCATCGTTTTCCGATGCTCCACCGACCCCTACACAAATGCCACAATAATGGAAAAAGCCTCAATCACTCAACACTTGCAGTTATTCTAGAATTCAGAATAGGAAATGGTGCCGAAAACTAATGTTGGCTTGTTAAGATTGATAAAAACAGAAAAAAATAGCAAATATAAGACTTGGTAAATACAACTGTGTTTTTGTCAGCATACAAGAACATTATACCATCCATCTGCACCAGTAGCTCCGCCTTGACTCTCCGACTGGCCTCGTGTTCCTCTGAAGTCCCTCTGCGGCTGCACATGGAGTCAATTTCATCAATGAAGATCGTAGTAGGAGCGTAAAAACGTGCCTGTACAAGAGTACACGCAATGAGTCCCACAGAAACCTCAACTTCTTTGCACTTCTCAACAGTTTGTAATTCTAAGGTAGTTCTATAAAAAAAAAGTACAGTAACTTTATCAGGAACACTGCTAAATATTTACACAAATAACATTAAATCTAAATAAATGTGTATGTAGTTAAGATTAGGTCTGCACAATTAATTCTATACCAATCACGATCAAGAAATTCACATCCACATTTCCAGGTGTATTGACCGATTTCTGACCACAAGAGGGCATGATTCACAGATAAAGAGACTGGACATACTATCAACTTGTAAAGTTATGGCTGAGACATTAAACAACATGGGCATCAGATTGGTTACCTAACAAAATTAATTCCAATACTTTACTTTGCTCTAACTCCCCTGTCCACTAACTCCAGAGAAAAACATCTGAATAACACATCAGCTTTCTAGATGCGTTCCTTTGTTTACCAGCCACTTTCTTACTTAAATATAGATAATATATATGTAAGCAAGAAAACCCAAAACAGCCAAAAGCTTAAAATGCTTAATTCTCAGAGGGTTAAGCAATATGAGTATCCCTCTCACTTTTCAGTATCATTTCAATTCACTCATGATATGAAAATATCAGGGGCAAGATGCAATCACATATTTAAAGTCTTACCATTTCAAAGAGAAGGCGAACTAGCTTTTCAGACTCCCCTCTGTATTTGGAGGTTAGAGTAGATGAGGAGACGTTGAAGAATGTGGTTCTGCACTCGGTAGCAACTGCTTTGGCCAAAAGTGTTTTCCCCGTACCTGGAGGTCCCACCATAAGCACTCCCTAAAGTATTAAAAAAACTCTGTGCATTGATACAAACAATACATTTTACAAATCATATAAAACTAAAATTTCTTTAAAATCAGCACCTTCCATGGTCTCCGTATGCCTTTGAAAAATGCTGGCATCCACATTGGCAACACAACCGCTTCTTTAAGTAGTTTTTTTGCATCTTCCAGGTCTGCAATGTTGTCCCTAAAGAAACAGGACAGACAGAGATTACACTTGGCAGTCCTCAGGAAGGCTGAAAAAAAAGACCTCAAGCAACGATCCACCATCTTTGGAAACTGGCTTGTTTGCCATCTTAAGCGTCCAGTACAGAGGCACTTCTGGGAAATACAGCGTGTAGCCTAGGTTACCACAAAAACTAAGACAGCAACCTACATTAACCAAAATGAGACCAAAGATTCTTCACAAGGTTTCAAGCTGTGATGAACACGTACCATTTAACATTTGGATTCTGAGATATAATATCTCTCTCCAGAGCTTCCACAAGGTCTTTGTCATATCCTGTCCCATCAAATTTTTTCACTTCTTTCTCCTGGACATCTGCTTTGTTCTGGAAGGCAGACACAAGACACTATTACTCTTCCCTGTTCCCTGAATGGAACGCATGTGGTCTGGTTTCTCCCAGACAAAAAACTGGAATTACAGGCTAAAGCGTGGCTGTAGGTAAACAAGCAGCATATGGATACTGTTCAGTCAACAATGCAAATAGTTGTGTTTGAATATATGTTATGTAATATTATGAAGAAGAAGGTGGTGTGTTTAATTCACAAACATGTTGTTTACCTTATCATCCTTTGCTTTGCCAGCGGCCTCCTTCACCTCTTTTGACTCTTTCTTTTCTTTGCCCTTGGAGGGTTTGCTTCTGTCCCCGTTGGCCCCACGAGGCGATTGCCTCTGCTGGGCCCTTACAGCCACGCTCAGGCGGTTGTTGGTAGGTTTGCTGTCTTTATACTGGTTAGAGGGCCGTCTGACGGGACAAGGAGAATGTCTGAAAGTAGAAATGGGGGATGGAACTATTAACAAGAGCTTTTCAAGCCATGCCTTTTTATCATTTCAAACAATTGACTCATATTTTCTGTTTAGTTGTGGTTTTATTCATGCCAGAGCACTAATAACTGAGGTAATTAGATTTGGACGGTATTAGGATCCTATTGGTAAGTGTCCACAGGACCAGTCATTTGCACGTTTTCAATTCATAGTCTATGCGTTTCAAGGGCATCCCGTTGGTCGCTCCTTACTTAAATACTTTTTTCAGGGACATTTGGTCCTTTTAATAAATTTACAAGTGTTTCCAGGAGTGGAAAACAAGTCTCTAAATATCTAGATTTTCAATGTTTTTCAAGATGTGTTGGAACCCTGAAAAACACCCCTGTGGACATGTATCATATGACAAATATATAAGCTATATATTAAATCACAATAAATAACTAAATAAATTACTTGACGTGTGTATGCATATCCTGTGACCATCAAATATATCATCAATATATTCTTAGAAATCCTCTGGAGGCCACACATAGTACTACAGCATATGTGAAAAGGCTCATCAAGTGAATTAACACAACTAGACTTATAAGTGGAGAAAAAAAAACTAACAAAACACAAGGCAGTGTGAAGTTTACAGGCCACCTTTCTAAAGGGCAGAGCATGAACAAAACAGGCTCACATCAGGGTTCAAGTTTACTAATCTCCATCATATGACTACATCAGGGCTATTGTTCGCAGACAAACAGCTTATACAACCCCCCAATCACAAATCTGTGCACTGCAAAGGTGACAAGTGAACTAGATCCAGTGTTTCAACAGTATCAAAACTGGTATAAAAAAGAAAAAACGAAAACTGACTTAAAGATATAATAGGTAACATTTTTGTATTAAAATGTCTATAAATACTAGACCCATGTTGTATATGTTGTTGAGCTGTGTACTTCCATTATCCCAAATGTTTCCAACAATGTTCAAACTCAGAGAAATCTGACATTTTATTCAGGTAACGCTGCGTTTCACAGGTCGCCTGTCAATGGTGTCATATCCCCTTTGTGCATAAGCTTTATCCAGTTTTAGGCCACATTTTTACCATACACTTTCAAGATCTAGGTGGTTTTTAACTATATATTTTAACTGGATAAAGGATTTTAGTCATTGGACATCTGGATCTTAAGTTGGAAGAGAAACATGCTGAGCCAACGTTAGCATCAGCTTGGCAAGAGGCCCCTCCGGGACGTCCTTTGCCCTTTGTGTTAGAGAAACACTCATTTTCAAGGTGAAACTGCTTTATTCAGTGTTTTTACTGATTTTAATCAGTGAGTTTGTTTGTTTTGGAGAGGAGGAGACCTCTGTGGATAATTTGGCTCCCTGTAAAAAAAAAAAACTCCAGTAAGTCTGGATCTTAAGTTAATGTTAGCAACTCAGCAGCTCGGCTGGCAGCCCCTTCGGGACGTTGTCTGTTAGCTGAACAGCTTCAGAGAAACACTGATTTTTATTTTTTTATTCAGTGTTTTTACTGATTTTAATCAGCGGGTCAATTTGTTTTGGAGAGGAGGAGATCACTGAGGATGATTGGGTTCCTGGTAGAAACCTCCTGAACGGTGAACACTAAAGGAATCCTAACCAGGAGAAGTTGACTGCAATGACGGCAATGGTGGTGAAGATAACAACTCCTATGAGCCCACGCTACTTTACAACATCATCAAACTTCGTCTTTTGTTATTGTTTTGATGTGAGAGACCCACATAGTGGCAGAAGTTACATATTGTATGTTTAAGCAGTGAATGAGAAAGCTGAAAAGACAAAGTTGTATGTAAATAACCAACTGCAATACCTCTGTTCCATGTGCACAGGCCGTACTTCACAATCATCATGGTTACTAGGTTTGGCAGGCGTTGTGTCCCGCTGAAAGTTCTCCAGTGTCGACATTATGTCCTGAACTTGTCGATTCTCTTCACTAATTTCTTGCCACAACTGACAAACAAACACAGATAAACCTCAGAAAAGCCAGTACTCTTTCCTAATTCAATCTCTTAAGTTTTATCAGGGTACATTTTTAATGCTATATTTACCTGCTGCCACCGCTGCTGAACACTGCTGTCCCGCACAGTGTACACATACTTCTTGATTTGTTCTAGCAGTCCATTATAGAGAACACTGGCTGAGCTGTAGTTTCCCAGCAGGGCGTACTCGCGGGCCAGCTTCACATTCTCACTGATCTCTCGTAGACTCATGGTGCTGTGGAAACACAAACAGCAAGTTAGAGTCAGAGGCTGTTTTACATAGACTGCTCCAAAAAGCAGGGCCTTATTCTGAAAAGCCTGAATTGACCAAGACAAACAAATAGAAACAGGATGACACTGTAAGCTCATAGGGGTCAGGTTTTGTCCTTGATAATTTACACTTACATCACTTTTGTGTTGTATGTTTTTCTTCACTTTGTCCACTACAATCGTTTTTAATGAACTATACATTCTTGGCCTCACAATTCCAAAACAATGGATCTGTTTGTATCCATGTATTTTTTACTATCAGATATCAGACCAATTCTCAGTATCAGAGATACCTTGAGTTGTGGTATCTACTGACACTCAGAACTGTGTATTGGAAGAAAAAAGGTTTAGTGAAATCTAGTGGTGAAGTTGTAGATTGCAACCATTTGAATACAGCCCAAACTTTGACCACGACAGAGCCCCCAAGAAGAGGGACCGCTCCCTCTGTAGATAAAAACACAGATTGATATTTTCAGGTGAAAATACTTTGATAAAGATTGCTGTGTATCATTTATGCTAATAGATCCAATGTTACAGACTGGGCCTTTCATTTTTATGACTTATCGTGATTGAAAACTCCAATCTCACATACACTGTAATGTAAAAAAAAGTTATTTTAACTCAAAGAAATTATTGAAATGCATTACATCAACAATTTTAAGTAACACAAACTCAGTTGTGTAAGTTAAAAAGATTATTGGTTAAGCAGCTTTTACTAGTAATTTTAAGTGACACTAACTTAGTTTTGTAAGTTAAAGAAATATTCCTGATTAAACAGTTTTTAGTGGGTATTTTGTTTTCTTTCTTTTTTTAATTACTAAAGCCACTTGATCAAAAATGTGTATCTTACAAGATTGAGTTAGTTTTACTTGTTTTAGCTGCAACATTGTTTTGGGTTGAACAAACTTCTGGTTAGGGTTTTACAGGGTAAAAAGATGCAGACCAGAAATGTATTATAATGTGTGTGACAATCATCTTAAGTTACTAAACTTTTGTGGCAATGTGAGAATGTATTGTTTTAAATTTAATTATAGCAAAGTAAAAATAATCATCAGATTATGAACATCTGAATTTAAGGGAACTCTTTAACTAGCTAGCCTCTTGTTTCTCTGTTATGTTGAATCTCACTGTGTGCTGCAGTCAGATCAGGCAGCCACAGAAAGACATACAAAAACTTCCCATCCAACCTGCAGTGTTATGTGGATATTTTCTCACGCAACCTTGGTACAATATTTACAAGGTATGTGGGTAATTGTAAGACCACATTTAGTCAAATATAAACTAACAGGGAGGCTATTGTCCCTCAGTTTAACTTCCATGGATTAGCCGGAGCCTCGCCCCACTGAAACTGTTTGTGGTAAAATGCGACACAAAACTCTACACGTACAAGGTGCTAACGATACAGACATATGAAAAATAGCTTCTATGTTTGCACTGGAAGAAAATATAATAGCTGACAGACAACATAACAATTTACTGTAACTGTTACGGTATGTCTTAACTTCACTCCCAACAGCCGGGTGGTTGGTTTCCCCTCTCTCGTGCAGACAAAAAGTATAACTTTATCTTATATTATCTTTAAAAAAACAAAACAAAAAACTCGATGCGTTTATACAAATGCGGCTAGATTCATGCAACTCAGACTCCTTACCAAAAATGGTTGATGTTGGGTTTATAGTCAATGTTTCAGATGGACACACGCAGAATCCTCTCAGTGGCTGTTATGACGAGTTCCGCTGTGGCAGTTCAAAGGGAGGCTACAGACGACAGCCAACCGAAGCAACACTTAACCAACGACCTGTGGAGTTCAGCTGTTATCGCGGAAGTCAGCGACAGAGCACGTTCCGTATGCAAATACTCGAGCGGAGTAAAAGTTTTGACTTCCGTTTATAAGCTTCAAAATAAAACCGAGTATCTTTCAAACATCGCGACTATGACAAGTCAAAAGTACTGGAGAAAGGAAGTTTGGGGAGAATGTGAAGAGGGAGTGACCAGGCTCCAGAATTATATACCAGGGGCCAGATGTACAATTAACCACTGGTCTGGGATAGGTTTTGAGGACAGTTTTATAAAGCGGGCCAAAAAGATTCAAAGATTCATTAAAACACAACACACAAATTTCAGAAAAATGCATTGTATTGTATTGTCACCATTTTTGCACATGTTTATTTTTAATTAAGTAAAGAAACAGAAATCAATATGGAGGAGGGTGATTTCCTTGAAGTAGAAATCACACCAATTTTCAAACTAAGTGCAGATTTTTAGAATAGCAGAAATAGATTTCATACAGTTTGCGCCCTTTTTAGCTAACCATATTCTTTTTAAAACTTTATTATTTTATTTTTGTATTTTGGTACAATGGCACATGCTTATGATAGCTGAGGAACACCAATGGACTTCACAGTGTCCTGGCAGGGGTTGTAAATGACAGGACATGTTTGTGTCACAGTGATGCAGAGCATATCACCCACCAAGGAACTGGCACAAGGTTGTAAGTACATTCTTTCTTCTACTGACTGAACATTCAAAATCAATTTAGTCTCAAACAGTGTTCTTAAACATGTCCATTGGTGTTGCTGTACTGTTTGATCTTTTTGTGTGGTATTTATGCCATGTGGAAATATTAGTAATACTTCATACATTTACTGATGAATGCTTTTGTCATAGCTGAAGCAGGGTCCAAACAGCAGACACATACACACAGGATTTCTGGGAGTGGCAGGAAAATACATTTACTGTCCAGCTAAGGTCCTTGCATCATAAAGACATTTATGTTGTTTATACTTGTTTTTGCACTCTCTAAATTGCACTGAAGACCAATGTTTGGCAAGTTACTTTTAAGAAGTAATTAGTTACAGTTACTAGTTACTTCTTCCAAAAAGTACCTAAATTAGTTACTCAGTTACAAATTATAAAAGTAACTAGTTACTTTAGAAAGTAACTATTGCATTACTTTCAAGTAAATTTTTAAATGCTCAAATGTGATCCCACCTCCACCCCTCTTTAACGGAACTTAAAATACATGTGCATGTTCAATTATTTATGATAAATCTGAATATTATAATGAAATGGACACTTAATACAATACATCATTAACAGAAACAATGTACACAAATCTAAACTATTTTAATGTTGCTGTGGGACAAAGTGTGATTAGCCTCCAATCAAATGCCATGTATGTAAATATTATGTTTATATAGTGGATCGATACAAATAACACAATAGATGTTTTGGAACTTTTGATATTTATTGCCCCTCAACAGGCCACAACTGGGCAAAATTAAATTATTCTTGTTAAGCACTATACCAAAAATAAATAACATATATATACACTCTTTGCAGTGCAAATAAAACAAAAAAATCTTCAGACAACTGGTAGATATATACTGTACTTCAAGTATTTTCTTCCTCGAAAAAGTAGAACAGTGTAACAATATGAGGTGCTTTCAATCTAACTGAAAAAGAATCCAAATATAAACAGGTAATACATATGAAATAAAAAATGCATCTCCATTAAAATAAGTCTCTTTCTCTGGCCATTGACAATCTCACTTCAAGAGGCTGCATCCAGCCAACAAATAAATCTAAATTAAATTATGCTCTCTGTCAAAAATGTATTCAAACAATATATACACTCTTTTTAGTGCAAATGTAATAAGATGCAACACAACTCGCCATACCTGTCTCTCGTTGACTGACTCGCTTGTGAGGTTCGTTGTGTGTCCGACTACGCGTGCTTTCGAACACCCGCCCAACTCTACCTCTGACTGGCTTACCATGAAATTTTACTAAGCCAATCGTCAGCATTTATGCGCTTGTCTCGTGCACTGCCCACTAACCAAGGAAGAACAGTAAAAAAAACTCTTTGCCTCTCGGCTCAGAGATCTAGTTGGTCTGATGAAAAAAACAGCTTCAATTATAGTAATGCGCCGCATTTTTTGGCAGTAACGGTAACAGCGTTATTGAAATGGGAAAAGTAATCAATTAGATTACTCGTTACTGAAAAAAGTAACGCCGTTATTCCCATAATTCCATGGAATGGCGCCGGCGACAACGGCAGCCTGTCATGGCAGCTCCTTTCATTGTTATAGTTTTAGTGTGTTTTCAGTGTGTTTTTGCTATTTTGAACTCTTTTCTTACTTTCTTACTTTCTTACTACTTTGTTCATGTCGCCTAAATACTTTTTTTGGCGTTTTTGAGCACTTTTTATTTTTTGTTTACGCTGGTCTCCATGGCGACGGGGAGTCGCATTGTTTTCACCCGCGACCAGATGATCGTCTGTGTGAAAGAGCGTGTCTGCAGTCCGGACATCGAGCTCATCGCCGTCGGACTTCGTCCGTGTTATCTGCCACGGGAACTTTCCAGTGTTGTCGCCATCACTGTCTATGTTCCTCACAGTGGTCTTCATCATCACCATCACTGTTTACATTTATGATGTCCTATTTATTCTCCTGTACAGCACTTTGGTCAACTTTGGTTGTTTTTAAAGTGCTTAACAAATAAAGTTGGATTGGATTGGATAACTGCTGAAGACACATGTGGACAGATTTAATAAAACAATGACTTTTAGCACAGACCTTGTTTCACTTGATTTCATCTATAAATCCCTGGTCAACTCATTTCCATCATGAATAATAGTATTTCAATCATCTTTGAATGCAAAAGAAATTCGGTCTTTTTTTGAATATCATTTTGTATAGTATATTGATACTATAATTGGGGTGTTCCTCCGTAAAATTCTAAATACATAAATACAGAAAGGATTTACATACTTTAGACTGAAATGATGTAGATTTTAACATAACTCTCATGTGAAATTTTGAATACATAGTGCAGCGGTTCAATACCATGCATAGGAAAAGAAAAATTCAGTACCATGGATAGCGGACCATAAAATCGTGGAATTTCATTGGCTGTCAGCGTGTTACAACTACCCATGGCTGGCCCCCTTCTGACAGGCGGAGATACTGTCCACTATACTAACGAGGACTGGCGCATTGCCAGGTTTGGCGTGTCGCGTGGTGGCCCTGTTCCCGGCGTTTGCAGGGAAGAGGCATACAGGGAGGCATTGAAGCTGAAGGATGGTGACACGTTTTTGCTGATTTTCAGCTGGCGTTCTCAGCTCTCACTAGAGGTGCGCTCTTCCTGAAATCCCCAACCATCTCCACTGTCTTTCGAGCGTGGAGCTCCAAGTTGTTCTGTCCGCAGCCGGTCACCAGATGGTCAAGCTCCCACCTGTAGGCGGCCTCATCCCCACCACAGGTGAGCCCAATGAGGGTGGTGTCGTCCGCAAACTTCAGACAATTGGACGGATTGATGACTGGAGGTGGCAGCTGTTGGTGTACTGGCAGAGGAGCGGAGGGGAAAGGACGCAGCCTCGAGGGAAAGCGCTAATGACGGATGGAGTCTAGGAGGATGGTGTAAGAACTGTCGCTTTGTCTTTCAAATCCACAGCAGAACTCATTCAGGTCGTTTGCCTGGCGCAAGTCGTTAGCGGGTTGGGTTTTTTTTTTAGGTTTGCACTCGGTGATCCGTCTGAGAACTCTCCAGACATGTTCTCCTCTCTGGTCGGGCATTTCACAAGCCGTCTGTGTTTGGGGACTTCATGGATTGGGTTACCTTTGTCAAAGTCGCAGAGGACGATGACTGCCGAGTCCGGGTTTCTCCGCTCCGTAGACAATATCTTCTAGACAAGCTTGCGCTGTGCATCCTGCACGTTGGGCTGCGGTGGAACGTATGCACAGACCAGCACAAAGGACGCAAACTCACGGGGGAAGTAGAGAGCTTCGATCCAGCCACTTCAGCAACCAGTGATGGGTTGCTGCTATCGATGGGTAGAAAGTCTTAACAAAAAACACACCCTTACCCTGTAAAATTAACAGGTTTTCTGGCGTTAGAAAGGTTTTCAGTTCAGTGTACAGTTGATTTTAACTGCGCACGTGCACATGCACGGGCCAGAGCTGCCAGTGGTTCCCGTAGTTTAGTGGTGATCACGTTCGCCTAACACAGCATTTACTGTCACTCAAATCCATGAAAGGGGAACTTTTTCTGAATCCAGTTGAAAATGTCTCATCCCATCTCTCGAGGTCAAAAACGAACACATCGTCCAGAATTTGAAAAGCTTGCATATGAGCAGGCTGGTGCTTCGGCGCGCGAGTCTGCGTGAGAGCTGCCTTTGCCCGTTTCCGTAGTGTAGTGGTCATCACGTTCGCCTAACACGCGAAAGGTCCCCGGTTCGAAACCGGGCGGAAACTGCCACCTTTATTGGTGTTTACACTGAATCAAAAAGCCAACTTCTAAGTAAACCAGGCAAAAATGAAACTGTACGAAATGCTAGAAAACAACAGGAGGAAAAGTAGAGCCCTTTTTGCTTAATCCAGTTTAAAATGTCTCATCCCATCTCTCCAGGTCAAAAACGAACCCGTTGTCCAGAATTTGAAAAGCTTGCATTTGAGCAGGCTGGTGAATCGACGCAGGCGTCTACGCGAGAGCTGCTTTTGCTCGTTTCCGTAGTGTAGTGGTTATCACATTCGCTTCACACGCGAAAGGTCAAAAACGAACACATCACCCAGAATTTGAAAAGCTTGCATATGAGCAGGCTGGTGCGTCGGCGCGCCAGTCTGCGCGAGAGCTGCCTTTGCCCGTTTCCGTAGTGTAGTGGTTATCACGTTCGCTTCACACGCGAAAGGTCCCCGGTTCGAAACCGGGCGGAAACAGTCTTCTCGCTCTTTAATCTGAGTATTGGAATCAAACTCTACTCAGTATCAAAATCAGACTATACTCCGTCAAATAAGCAGACGGACGCTAAAAGGGGCAAAGTCAA